CCTAACCCTAACCTAACCCTAACCCTAACCCTAACCCTAACCCTAACCCTAACCCTAACCCTAACCCTAACCCTAACCCTAACCCTAACCCTAACCCTAACCCTAACCCTAACCCTAACCCTAACCCTAACCCTAACCCTAACCCTAACCCTAACCCTAACCCTAACCCTAACCCTAACCCTAACCCTAACCCTGAGGTTTGATATACGTACCAAAATATATAGGGTCCAGCGTGGGACAATACTTAACTCTATAACTAGCCTTACCATATACAATGTATCTCTAAATAGAAGTATTGTATAAGATAATTAGATTATTATAAGTATAACTAACTATAGGGGGAGTTTTTAATAATTTACGCTGCTCGTTCGGGTCTTAGTACTGTATCTAGAGGTTAATAATAGAAGAACCCTGCCTACGAGCTTCTAGGTAAATAGTTTTAACGAGGGCTATAAGGCTCTTATTATCGGTCGCAACTTTTGCTACGAATTAATGCCCGTAGATGCTCTTAGACTGTCGGTCCGGGGCAAACTAGTTAATAGAGGACTGATCGCCGCCTATAAGCTCAAGTTGGTCCTTGTATTGTGGACCGTTGTATTGGATATTAACTTTGTTATAGGGTTCCTGTTGCAGGAACTCTCCTACAAAAGGCAGGCGCCGAACTCCTATACACTATTCCCTTTAATCAGCGCTGAGGTAAACGTCAGCATAGCTGTAATCGGGCTCGTAGGCCCTCTTGCGACTATTGCCTAGTGCAATTCGCGGATGTCTGCCTTGATTGTACTGCCCGCGCGGGCGATGTACGAGCGGGTGCGCTCCGCTGTTTGTAGAGGTCGCGACGCTTTGATTCTCGACTTGCGAGTGATTGTTCGCTCCGTTGTTCGCGGAGTTGACGCCATCTTGATTAGAAAAGGAATCAACGTCCATTTTGTGGCCAGCTTGGTGGTTGCTGGTGACTTGCAACTGTTGAGCCGCTTGGGCGTCCTGAGAGCGGACTCGGTCGTTGAGCGGCGGTGCTCCGCGGCGGTAGTCTATGGTGAATGAGGTCTGTACAAGAGAGGACGTTAGTGGAAAAACCTAAAACGATACGCGCTTGTTCTCTAGCTTACTTTTTCTCGACGTGTGTGTGGTTGTGGTTGTGGTAGTGGTTGTTGTTGTTGGGAGGAGGGGTTGTTTGCGTCGGACGTGAGTGGAAGTAGAAATTTGCAAGGAGACGGGACCTGGGTGAGCTGTAGAAAGAAAAAAAAAAGAAAAAAAAAACTGTGGGCAGTTCGGGCGGCTGGCAAATGGCTGGGCTCTGGCCAAAGATCAGACGGTCTCATAACCACCCATTCACTCGGTCTCTACCTCTAGAGGTACCTAGGTAGGTACCAAAGTACACGTTGGCCGAGGGGGCGGTGACGTACTACAGGTTTGCCTTGGACAAACGTACCTACGTGCTAACTGCTGTTTTGACGACGTGATTCTACCTAGTAGATGCTCGAAAGTGCTCTCAGAATTTTCTTGATCGTTACTACCTAGGTAGGTCCGTAGAGCTTTTGGTCTGGCTGTCGATGGCTTTGCCAACTTTGCCGAGAAGGGTCTCTTGGACTTCGTTGAGACTAGCTCTAGATTCATGTTCTTTCAGTCCCTCGATCTTGTCATCAATTGTAATTGCAGACTCAGCCTGCGTCTCTAGAAAATCCGTCCTTGTTTTGGTTAGCGACATGTGTATGATCCGGAGCTCGGACGTTGGAATGGGGACGACTGCAGGCTCAGCCTCGGTACCTCTACATTCTGTCAGGTACCTCTACGTGCTGCCGTTCGTCCCCAGGCAGAGGAAAATGTATAAGTGATAGTACAGCTCGCTGGATACTGTCTCATAGTGGGCGTACACTAACAGCCCATCATTTCACCCACCTTGGTGATCCTCCTGGCGAACATTCGACCAATGAGACGACGGCTAATCACAGGCAGCCCACTCCACGGCAAAACTAACGCTGAAGCCTTCATCCAGCTGCAGGACGGCCCATGGAAGAGACGATCCAATCTACGTACGAAAGCACGACACCTCCGACGTTCGGGCACAGACGACATCGGACGCCGACTGAGCCATCACCACAATACCACAGTATTACAATCGCTGGCAAACGAGGCTCAATTCCATCCGTTGGACCACAGAGTCTCCCAAGACCACAGTCTGGTATGTACAGGAACACCCGCAATCAAGGAAACAACCCAAAGCAATTCGCATAGTAACTGACGGTCGCGCTCCAGTCACTGAAAACGGCAATCGCCCCGACCTCCTTGCTTGCCAGAACATCGAGCAGCTCGTACACAACACCCTCTCCCCTTGCCGCCGTGGCATTCGCAATTGTCGAGTAGTAATACCCTCCCTTGGTGCTGTCCGCGAGCCATCCGGACCGTTCCAAACTCCAGGTGATCACCTTCAACCCAAGCTTCTTCGCCTGCTTGGCATACTCGCTCGCAACAACCTTGACCTTGCCGTCCTGGTCGGTGACAGTCGACACCAGATACTGGAGGGGAGGGGCAACGATCTTGACGCCGGCTTGGGCATACTTTGCTAGGGAAGCAGTGGCAGCGGAGATGGTGCTCGGCGCATCACCCGACTCGTCGAGAAGAATCGCCTGCTTTGCGAACTCCGGCTCGGCGCGCAGCCAGTACAATACGTCGTCATACAAGAAGCTCTGGAGCCAGACGCGCTTGGGGTCAATCTTCGCCGCCTTGAACTCGTCGATCAACTGCTGGGCGAACGCTTCTTGCGTAAAGTTGATGGAACCAAAAGGCATCTTGACCTCTGGCGTCTTCAGCTCCGGCGTAAAGTCCAGGCCCAGCGCGTCGACGAGCGCAATGTACTCCTTGACGGTCAACAGCTTGTGGCAGGTTCCGGGACCGGAGTAGAGCGTGGTGCGGTAGCCGGGTACGTTGCCCTGGTATTCCTCCGGTGTTGTAGCCTGGGGATCGGAAGAGTCCATCTTTGAGCAGAGCTCCTTGGTTTCGGTGAGCTCGGCGAGGGTGAAGTCACTGGTGCAGCACTTGGCGGTTGCCGATTGCTTGGACGTGGCGTTGTAGGGAGTAAAAGGGACGGTGCACTTGGCGGCCAGCGAAGGGATCGTGAGGATGTTGGTGGTGGTGTGCAGGTCGCATTGCGAGTGCCGGCAGATGAGCTGCCGGTCGGAGGTAAAGGTTACGTCGCACTCTTCGATTCCCGCGCCCATACGAGTCTGTCTCTCTGTCAGTATCACAGTCACCTTTTAGGACCCGAAAAGACACTTACACCAGCTATAATACTCGCCTCCGTCTCCTCGGGAAACTGCAACGTGCCGCCGCCACGATGACCGATGCTCCAACGGCTGGGGCGCATCTCCTTTTCGGAGCAAGATTGGAGCTTGGTCTTGAGGGGGGAGTCCTCCATCTGGTCGATTAGCCAGTACGGTCGGGGGCCAAGCTGGATTCTTGTGATGGGTTTGATGCCCGTCTGGTTCTTGCCCGGTACGCCATGGCTGGGGAGGGCGAGGGCTGGTGCTACGAGGGCTAGCCAGCTGAGGGTTGAGAGGGTGGAAAACATGGTGTCGGTGGAGGAAGACGGCGAGGAGGAGGACAAAGGCAGAAGAAGAGACTGTTGGAGCGGGAAGTCAACGGTTTATATCTCCGTTGACAGCAGCTAACTCCCGAACCAGCAAGCCCCACGTTCAGCCATGCTGTAGATACAGTAAAATTTACGACCGCGAGGGTAAAGATTGACAAAGCAGCCAGTCTTTGGTGTATCTCCGGCACGTGGGGTCGTTGTTTCTTTCCGGGTTATCGTATCGCTTGATTGGAGTCTTGGTGTTGAGCGGACCCTTGCAACGTAGCAATGCGTGCCACAATTGCGGAACGCGATTGGTGGATGTCAAGACACTTGCTGAATATGTGCAAGCGGAAGAATGGGCTTATCCTTGATAATCTTATCGATGGTACTCTTGGAAGTTGGGGATGATGACTGTTTTTAGATACCAACTGGAGAATACCTCTACTGAGTTGGGAAGGCCGCTCAAGGTTACCTGACCCACTCCTCACATCCCGGTCCATTGTCGACTAAAGCCATTTCATAAAACCTCATCTTCCTTTTGTCCTTCTTTCCTTCAACTTGAATACCCTTTCGAGAAATACCTTCGCATCCTCCGTCTTCCCACCATCAACACTTCCCAACCTCACCCACGCATCGACCGCCATCCTGGCCTCCCTCAATGCCCCCCTCAGCGCTAGGTCTCTGTCCACCTCCTTACCCCCAGGGCTTCCCCGTTCTGCCAGCATAAGATACAACTCCGCCATAACCCCGTGATACTCTCCCATCAATGGCAAGAGTCCTTCCACTTCTGCAAAGTCGAGCCAATCCTTCAGGATGTTGATGGCGTCTTGGTAAAAGCCTTCTGACTTGGCGTGAAGCATCGTGGTCCATAGCTCGTTCAGGTGCTGGCGGCGAGAGTGGGATTCTGCGGCGGGAGTATTGGCAGAGGGGTCGTCGGACAGAGAAGTACAGAGCGAGCAGTGGCAGGTGAAGTGGTGGTTTTGTGGGAGAAAGTGATGGCGGTCCGAGGGGGGGAGGGTGAGGGGGGTGTCTGTGTTCGTCAGCTTTGAATCCGCATTTGGAGGCAGGGCGAAAGCGTACAACTGATGAGAATCTCTTCCCCCGGAAAGATGGGCCGGTAGGATATGACTTCCATGGCAACTCGGTTCTTGGAGAATCGGAGGCGAGCGCTGCGACAAGCTGTTAGCTTCCACTTCCTTTGAGACCATACGGGTAGACCGAACTCACTTTGGTCGGCAGGAGTGGTTGATCCGCTGGTCATTCAGTCAGCATCTCCTGCCATTTTCGACGTCAATCCTCGAAACCTACCGCAACCTCAGCAAACAACCCCATCATTCCCTCCGCCGCATGGCCTTCCCATTGCTCCTGTAACTCTTGTTCCTCCAACAGTGCTAGTGCCGAGTCCGTTTCTGAACGATCGCCCCCTAGTCCCTTGAGGTTGATCCCCAAGATCGCATCAATCTCGTAACTTCCCGATCCCTTTTGCAGCTCCAACACCTTGCGTCTCGTGCTTTCCGGCAATTGCTCCAACCCCCTCTTCACCATTCGTCTTCTCAGATGCCCCTTCCCCTCTCGTTCAGTTTCTCTCAAGAACTCTTCACTTATCAACAAAGCCGGGACATCCACCATGAGGATCTCCCCTTGTTTGATGGGCCTGGTGGCCACTACCCCTTTTCCTTTGCCCTTCACGTCCGTAATCTGGTACGGCGTTTCCCGCTGCTTTCGAACATGAGAAGCCCAAGGAGCTGGGCCGTCATCCAAGGCCCCCATGCCCAGTAGGTTTGCGGCCGTGGTGGGTGAAACGATCAGGCTTAGTCCCTGCCCGTTTCGGAAGTTCTGAGAGGAAAACAAGCAGTACACGTTCTCGGCATGGCTGCATTTTTCGGCGTGGGAACGGGAGCAACCAAAGAATGAAGAAGAAGACGCGGAGGACATAGCAGCAGAAATATCCGATGCAGCGTATGACGAATAAGACGGAGAGAAGGACGCTAGGGAAGAAGATGAGGAGGATGAGGAGGCAGAGAGGGAGGAAGAGGCGGGTGAAGATCGGATAGACAGGCATTTGGGCGGAAAGGACCAGGGAAGGTTAAAGTGTTCGATGGCGGTGTTGTTATCGGGAAAAATTCCCAGGAGTCCGAGACAAGTTGAGGACCGTTGAAAGGAGGTCAAGTTTGGGCATTGTTGTCGAAACGATAGGTTGGTTGTGAGGTTGGAGTTGAGAACGGTGGCGTTTGCTCCATGTCTGCACACTGCCGTGGCCAGTAGAGAAAAGACAAACAAAGTCCATATCAAACGGGTTGTTGTGCTGGAGAACATTCCGGCCTTTGGACACTCTTAGGGCGTGGAAGTTGTCCCTGAGAAATCAGGTATTGTGCAACATTTACAAGATACCTACAGGTTCAAAAAGACAAAGTGGCCACACATCATGTTACGAACAGCGTTGCATTGACCAAAGTAACAGTGATGTTTCGCTTGGCAGTACACGGCTAACCCTGGACTGCTGGGAACAGGGAGGTAGAAATACCCGGCGGGTAAAGGCGCTTGTTGTGCTTGGGCATAGGGTAGTAGCCAGCTATAGGGAATATGATCGGCGTTTGTCTGTCTCCGGATGTCCTTGATGCTGGACGCTGAGGTCCTTGTTGGCAGCTCGAGACTTGATGCAGCGGGATGCTGGCTGAGGGACCAGATGTTTCGCAGAAAGAGAAGGACACGTTAACACCAATCATCAGAGATATTGACACTGCAATAAAAGTCTTGAGCGGGTATCTGGCTTGTTCGTATCGGATCAAGGCTGGAGTTGACTCAGGATCAAAGTTAGGGGGACGGATCGGTCTGTGGTGTTCTCACTTCGACCAAGAACGATTCAGGTAATGCCCGGGCCCAGGCAATATCTTTGGCATTGGCTTTTAAAGAGTGACTATAGTCGTATACGTAGAAGAGAAAACTCCAACATCAGATATTCAGGATCATGCTGGTGTCCATGGCCTAGCCGCTTGTACATTGTACCCTTTGCAAGAACCTTGAAGACATGGACACGACAGTTGGCGGCACCAGGGTTTTCTGAGGAGACAAGTGCTCATCCCTTAGACCCAGACACATCCGGTACCGGCCTGACCACAGACCATCTGTGTGAAGTAGAGATTCCATCAGTGGGTGTTCCATTCGCATTGCAAAAGAAATAGGAGGGGTCTGAGGACTTACGACATTGGGGGACCCGCCAGGGCAGGTCCACAGGTCGCATGTCTCCTTCTGGCCTTTGCAGCGGCAGTTGGTCTGTCCAACGACGTGGCCGCCGTTGCAAGCCGGCAGAATCTGGTTGCAATTGACACGAGCCTCGAGGGTACGGGCAGCGAGGTCGGCAGCCTCGATGTTGTTGGGCATGGCGAGGGCGCCGGTGGCGAGCAGGGCAAGAGCCTGGATGGTAGTGAAGAACTGCATTCTGGGCGAGTGGTTGTTTCTCGTTGGGGATGTCTAGAGTCTCGTGGTGTAGGTGCTGATGTGTGAGTGAGTCGATGATGCAAAACAGGAGACGATTGACGCCATCTTGGGGCCTCTTATATAGATATATTCCTTGCTCTGCTCCTCAGGGCGTCTACTTCCCTTCCTCTCACGTCCCATGTGAGGGGCACAACCTTTCGTTGTTTACTGAAGCCAGCGTGTGACGATCATCATACTATACATTGCCCCCGACTGCAACTCAGGACGAAGTAGCATTCGAACGGCTCACAAATCAAACGACAGGTTTTTTCTGTCGGTTAGCTTGTGGAGCATCCATAACAAACGAATATGAGGTTCACGACGTAATGTTCCACGGGTACTTCCTTGTAAGGCTGTTTGAGACAGTAGGTAAGTGGCAACTGCCCCGTACCGCGTCTGGCTACTCCTTGGAAGTCGGTGAGAAACAAAAAAGGCCACAGGTGTACGACCCGTTGGTCAGTTTACACCGTCTTGTGTTTCAATCTAACTTGCTCTATCCCTTCCGTCCGCTAAGGGGCCAAGGGAGCTAGATGTGCATGTCAGCCTGATGTCTTCCTACGGAGGCACCGTAAGAATCCTTCGGTGACTATCCCGGAGCAACTGCAACTCCGCCTTATGGCTCGATCTACAATGGCTCAGGGCATTCATTGACTGCTTAGTCTCCGCCCGACGAGATCGGCACTCGGTGTAGTTTCCTTGCTTACCTATATCTGTTACCGAAGAGGTTTGTTAACTCAGTTGATGACCGAAAGGGGCAGGAGGATGTGGGATTTCTATTTTATGCAAGGTCCCTGCATAGGTGCCAGGGGCACGTGGTGGTAATCCAGCACAGTTGTGGCAAACTTGCTCTTCTTACCTCTAGCTATATAAGCTTTCTAGTCGATGATAGGGTATTTCTGTCAAGAGAGCGACGACGATGTCATATTCTCACACCGCTCAGCTTATAATCAATATTCGTCGTTGACTGCAGATGTCTTAATCCCAGGGGCAGGTAAGCTGACTGCAGGCTGCTCGGCCTCGGAAGCGGGGCCCCGCTGCAGCCACTGCCCCGGCCAAGCTGCGAAAGTACTATGCAGTAGCTGGATACGAATCCGGGGGGATCTTCTGGGCGCCGGCAACTGTGGTTGAAAATCGAGGTGGGTTAAAGAGTCAGTAGGGAAGATTTGTCGTGTTGGGCCGTTGGTCGTGGAGAAGGCTGCCCCTAGGAAGCGGAAGATGCGATGCGATGGGATGAAGTGCCCGGCTGTTAGGGACTAGCTGAGGTGTCATATGCACAGCGGGGGCGGTCCGTAGCGGGGCTGTTAGCGGCCGGACGATCCACCCCCGCAATTTGGGGAACTCCCCGCAGTTCATAGGTACCTATTGACCCCTGCTACAAGTATGACATCATCCATCACAGTCTCCCAGGCTGAAGCTCTGTTGCCCAATGCACTGTTCTCAGACGAGATGTACTCTGCCGAGACAACACAATGCTCGTGGATATCCCATTCAGATGCGGCCATCGGCGGATGGTCTGATTCTGGAAGGAAGAGGGGATTGAACGAAGGCCCGTCTTCTGTCACCCCATTGACCGGTTGAGTTGGTTTCCCTCCCTCTGAAACCCCGACCTTCCTCCATCGGCATATTCTCTTGCTTTCAAATCCCTTTGCATTGGCCCAGCAAAGACCACAGGTTCTGTCTTCAACCCGTCCCATCTCTTCTCGAAACGCCCGCAGAGTTTGATACCCCCATACTGACCTGTAGGATCTACACAAGCTCTTACCCAGCATGCCCGCCGTAAGCGCCAGGTTTCTCAGCCTCGCCGTCCTGTCAGCCGTCATCCTTCCGAACATACCCAATACTCGAGCCATGATCCACATCGCGCACTACTTTTGCCACTTCATCCCTAACACCAGCCGATAATCCCAACACCCCAAGCCGAAGCAAAGACAAGCTAGACCAGTATATCCCCAAGATCATCCGCCAAGTCTACCACAACTCGCGCGACCCCAGCAACGAGACCATTCTCACCGACTGGGGCCACGTACGCCAGACCTGCACAACAAATAAACCCCGACTTCGAGTACAGGCTATAGACCAGCAACGCCTCCCGCCGGTTTATCGAGACACACTGCAAATGGTTCCTTGGTACCTACGACAGCTAGACATGTCCTGTCTAACGAGCCAATGCTTTCCGCTGCTTTCTCATGCGTCACTACGGTGGCATCTACATTGATCCCAACTACGGCTGCGCCCGTAATCTTGCGCTCCTGCTCTACTACCCCGCCTGGGTAATCGACCGCGGCCACGGCATCACCGGGGCGAGGCCAAACCATCCTGACTGGGTTATGTTGACTGGGTCTATAGTTACGCGTGGATTCCGGTTTCTGTTCCCACATGCTACACATGGCGGCAGTACAGAGTTCGGGAGGGTTAGCTGGGAAAAGTATCATGCACGGCTGCCCGCCAAAGAGAGGAAAGGGAACCGTGTCTGTCGGATTAAGACGGGTCATCGAGACGAGGTCTTCTTCATGCCAAATGGGATATTTAGGGACGACTGGGACCACAGCTATGGATACATTACGTCGACAAAGGCCATTCTCGGGTTTCTGCTACTCTTTGCTATGCTCACTAGACGGGTGTCATGCTCGTGGCAACTGGCAAGCAAGCAAGACCCATCAACGCGAATACCAGAAACCGCTGCCGTCGGAGGACGAAGTGGGATGGTGCGGGACGGTTTGACTTTTAGTGAGTGTTTTTTTCTTTTCCTTCTCTTTCCTTATTTCTTTTTCTTCTGTTTTTTTCCCCGTGATTCCGTTGGGCGTATCTCGTGTCCCAATTCTTTGGTCTTAGCCTCGTCCTTGGTATTATAACACATCAATCATTTCAGGACACGCTTTCCCACAGCTTGACACCCATTGAAACAGACCGAAGGCAGCTGTTGATTGGTTCATTAAAATGATCACGAAGTCCGCTCACCACTATTGGCTCTCAAATTTGGGAAGCCAATCATTTACGACGTCCAATCCGATGCGCAGTGGAAGCTGAAGAGACCAGTGAAAAGTACATATTTACCCTGAACTGTTAGTCCAGGACATTACTCAAATTCTATGCATAAGATTGGTCTCAACTATATGCATTTTCTAGTCTTCAGCCAATCTCTCCAGTATTTCTCTCCTTGAATGTGGTTGTGTCGTTCATTTTTCTGTGATGCTTTGCAAACCCCTGTCACAAGAACCGCACTCACCAACGAATCAACATTGGACTGTAACACTCCGCCAGAATCTATTGGTTCTCGAGTCTGTATGGGCAGAACATGGAATAGTTTTGCGCAGTTGGGCAAACCCGTCTGGCTTGCTACACAGATAGGTCGGTAGCGTCACCTGCGCATTGATCTATCCGACCAACATCATGAGGACCCTTTGTTCAGCGCCGTAGCCTCCAATTTCACTTCTCTGCCTGACTGCAGCGCATCATCTTCCGCCTTTTTGTCTGCAGGCCCTCACCACTACGCCAGACACGCTTACTCGATCTCCCAGGCGTCAACATGTCCTCCCCCAACACACTGACCGTTCCGGACGAAGGTACAAGGCCCTCTTCCGGAATTGTCGACACAAACCCTTCTCGCAACACGGCGGAAACTCCAGTGTCCCTCAGCCATGAAGGCGAGAGCCCGTCGCCATCCCAAGCTGTCACTAATGCTACTCCTGAGACCACCTATACGACCACCTCTAGCTCAAGTGTGACCAGTGGAGTGGTTTCGGACATTGAATCATCGACATCTCTGACCGGTACGGAAATCATGGCCATGCGTCGGCAAAGAACAGTCAATCGCATTATGCAACACTTTTGCCAATACTTGGATTGGATATCGAAAGGCAATGCTGTTCGAGCATCAACTGAGCCTTTTCACCAGACGTCGTCCCAGTCTCTGCCAAGGGCATCTTTGCCCAATTCCACACGATGCGACAACATACCAGCTGTAAATACGGAACTTCCTGGACCAGAATCTCTTGAGAACGCCGAATCGCTCTGCCTCCAGCAGCTCACGTTGTTCGACGATATTACCTCGAAGAACGACCCCTTCATGTTCGATATTCACGATGTCACTTCCCCCCCTTTGATTCTGCATCAGGGTGTCAACTTCCCCCCCGATTTGATTCTTCCTCAGAGGAGTATCACTAGTGGGTCAAGAGATTCCGGTGTTGATGTGTCGTATAGCGCAGGTTCTTCAGGGGAACCTTTCAAGGAAGGGCGTTCGGGCGAGTGCTTGCCAGATCCATGGACCGCATTAGAACTCCCTGTACCGGCTACCTCTAGAGACAGCGAAGACCTCCGCCTCTTCAAAAACTTGCCTGGTGGGTTTCTAACGAATCATATCTCTGTACCATGGTATCCTTCAGTGCTTGAGCTCGATGATGGACCCGAACCTTCAACCAAAGTCAATGGCATTTTGCACGACTCAACTCCTACTCCCACAATGCACCTTGCTGTCAACACTATGAGGAGTGAAATCGGACGCCCGGTCAATGATACCAACCAAAGCAATGGAATACGAAAGCATGCGGCCGAGGATGACGGTGACCACGATGGCAGACGGAAGAGACAGAAAGTAGACGATGGCCGGAAGTTTGCTTACCCCTTTTTCAAAAGGAATGCGCGCAAGTATTCCAAGTGGACGTCTTGTCCAGGACCGGGCTGGGAGGAGATTCACCGCGTCAAGTATGCCATCCCCACGGGCAATTATGCGACGTCTTTTACCGGATTGTGGGCTAACCTCGCATTAGGAGTCATTTATACCGACGTCACGAACTCATCCAGTGCCCGCGCTGTTGGAGCACCCACAAGAACAACAAGTCGCTCGTTGCCCATCTCCAAACAGATCCATCCTGCGAGAAACAGCCAAACTTGAGTATAGTTGATGGTGTTACTCCGGAACAAAAGGAGAAACTGCTCAGTCGCAAAAAGACGCATGGTGACATGACAGACGAGGAGAAATGGCGTCACATGTACATGATCTTGTTTCCGGATGACGATAAAGACTCAATTCCATCGCCCTGTAAGCCTTCGCTTCTTGTGTGATTGAATACAATAATGTGCCCAGACCGTTGACAGTTCTCAATTCACAGATTATGAGGAGTCAGACGGCAGCGAATTGGAGGATTATGCGAGGTTCATGCGGAGAGAAATGCCTCCGATTGTCCGAAGGGAACTTGAAGGCTTGCCTGACCAGGATTTCCAGAACAGAGAGCGCTTAATGGCGCGGCTGGTTGAAATCATATCAAACCTGCAATTGAGGTTACTTGATGTATACCGACAGTCACCAGCATCTGGACACGACCCGCGACCGCAACCTACAGAAGTGGATTTCTCCCACGGCAAACCAAGGGCGAGCGGCAGTGGATCGGGTACGACACCATCAGCGTCGGAGTCTCTTGACACTCTCACGCCACCTCCGGTTCCGGACTTGGTAGTCAACGCTGACGAGTTTGTCGATTCGCTTCTGGGCCTTGACTTCGAATACAATGATATGGAGATAACCTCCGAAGAGCTTCAGAGGTTGCTGGATGATTGGGGTCGGCCTGGGGATACGGTCAATAATGAAAAGTCAGTGTAATTGCTTGGTAATAGCAGTAGAGGTATGCTTTAGCTGTACTCAATCATATAGTTCGCCCGCTGGACTTTTCGTAAACCCGTACTCTTCAATTCCACCCTTTCAGTAGACGTGAATGCATGGCTAATACGATCTCAGCGACCCTCGGCCGGGGTCCCTTAATCCTCATGCTCAATCCCCTCCCTCAGAATAGCAACCTGCTTCTTGATCTCCACCCAAAGCACATACTTGTCGAGGTCCTCATCATCTCCATCGTCACCTCCATCATCACTGCCATCCGAATCCTCAAGGGTCAACCTCTCCCAATCATCCTCGATCCCACTCCTTGCCAAAATCTCCTCCTTCTCCTTGGAATCCCTCGCAATAGTCAACAAACTCGCCACAAAGGCTTCCTGGATGTACGCAAAGCTGAAGTCATCCGTGATCTCGGCAATCTTCTGGGTCAAGACATCCGGAAACTCAATCGTCTCGTTTCCCTTTAGCTTGTTCTGCCAGAACTTGCAGTACGCGACTCTCTGCTTGAGGTCTGGGTTGGGGAAGAGGTACTTGCGATCGAACCGCGAAGGACGCTTGGAGATGCCTGGATCGAGCCGTTCCAAGTGGTTGGTGGATCCAATCATGAAGATGCCGTCGTTGGATTTGAGGCCGTCGACTTCGTTGAGGAAGTAGGAGCGCACGTTGTCGGTGACGAGGGAGTCGAGGTCTTCAAAGATGAGGTAGCAGGGGGCGAACTGGCGGGCTTTTTGGAAGATTTGCGAGAGGGCGTATTCAGGGCCGGCGTACTACGTCTGTTAGCGCCCCCATTTCATGCTGCGTGCAGACGGATGGAGAAAAGGAACTCACCGAAACCAAACTCCTCACATACAAGCTCGGCACGCTATCCTCCCGATCCAACAACGTCTTCATCATGGCCTTGATACTGATCGTCTTTCCGTTCCCCGGCGGGCCCCAGTAAATGACTCCCCTCTTCCATGGCACCTTCAACTTTTTGTACGTCTCCTTGCTCTCAAAGAAATTCAAGTGATCCTGGATAAGGGCCTCCTTCATGTCTCCATCCAAAATCACATTCTCCCAGCTTGCTCCCTGGATACTCTCCCACAACTCCCGACTCTTCTCCCACCGTCCGTGATCATATACCCAAATCTCATTCAGCAGCGAGTCGGACCATTTCCCGGCGGCCAACAACAGGGACTCGGAGAGGTGCGTCGACGGAGCCAGGATGTAGTTGTTCTTCAGGTGCGGGTAGGCCGAGGCGCCGTCGCGCCCGTCGACGATGTACAGGATGAATTCCTTGGATTGCCATTTGAGGAGGTACTTGGCAAAGATGATGTCTTTGACCAAGAAGCCGGGGGAGTTGTCGATGCGTCGGGCGGGCGGGACGTAGGATGTTGTGGACAGGCTGGTGGGGTATTTGTTGGCGGAGGAGCAGAGGTCTTCGGTGAGCGGGGTGATGGTGGCGTGGCCGGCCGCAGCGAAGCCGAGAAGGTTGACCGAGTAAATGGGCGCGATGGTTAGTTCGAGGTTGGGATATTCCCTTTTGAGGGTGGTGGCGATGACGCATTGTGTGTCGATGCGCCGGGCCGAGGCGTGGTTGAAGAATTCAGCGGTTGTCCTTTCATAGTGCCCATGTTGAGGCGGTGGGTGGCCGTGACCGGGAGGAGGGTGGTGAGGGTGGTCCATGTTGGGTTCCATCTTGATGTTGGCCGTGGAAATGAACAGAGGAGAAGAGGATGATGTGTGGTGTCTTTTAAGATTTGGCCAGGAAGATGGGACGGGAGGTTGGGATTGCGGGGAAGCGTGTTTGTTTGGTAGCCCCTGAAGATACAGTGACATCTGACTGGTTGTAGTGGGGATGTTGGAACGGTTGTTGCCTGGATGTGACGAGTCGAAGCTGACGTGGAACGACGCGCGGGTCCGATCCGATTGAAGGCGCCATCACACTACAAGAACGATTGGTTGCTGGGAAGTCTTGATTTGGCGTAGCTTTCGTGGAATACGGGATCTACGGAATGTCATCAGTCATCACCGAGTTAGCCTGCAAGGCCTGTCAAGAACCGTACCGCGCACTAACATCTCCAATGCTACGCTGAAGATGAGATACAGGTCGAGACTAAGGTGGAGAGATGGGACCAAACGTCTCAGATGTAAACAGTAGATATGCTCCCACCCGATCATCTCAAGCCTGCAAACTTGTCATTACCGCTGTTCCACGTTTGAACCTAGTTGACACAAGTGCAGATGCCTTGGCTCCGTTTCGAGGCTAATCCACCAAACGATTTCGCGGCTTGCTGAATGTGTTAATTTTGAAGGGGGTGGTAACGCGAGTGGTGCGAGCGGCTCTAGTGGTTGGCCGATCACCGCTCTGCCCGCGCTGCGAATTGGCCAACGTAAAGTCACGCACATTGAGCCTGTCAACTGGTAATTGGCCCTGAGGACCTTTGAGCGTATGTGTATCAATCGCCGCAAAAACCAGCCTCTTGACCTCGTGCGAAACATCCTTGACAGCCTGCTCTGCCACTTCCGACCACGCCGTCATCTGGAGCCAGCCATGGGTGAGGTTGTCATAGTGACGCCAGCGAGTCGGTACTCCAGCTTGTGACAGCTTGCTTGCGTATTCGCAGCCGACGTCTCGCAGGGGGTCGTAGCCAGAGGTGAACACGGCGGCGGGTGGTTGACCACGGAGGTCCTCGACGGATTGCATACCGGGCGAGACGTAACGGTTTTGGGGGGAGATGTCTGGAAGAGCAATGGGTTAGATGGATGGCAGAAGAAGACTGAGATAGACGACTGGCCTTCGGACCGTGGAAGGTAATTGCTCGCAAAGCCAAAGATGCCGTTGCATTCCAGGTAAAGACCGGAATTGTTCTCTGTCGCGGCCGGCGTATCAAACGGCAGTCTTGCCTCGGGATACAGCAACACCTGCCCAGCCAGTGGCTTTCGCCCTTCATCCATCCTCCTCAAACAGATGGCTGCTGTCATGTTCCCGCCAGCCGAATCCCCTCCACCTACTACCTTTTCAGGATGGACTCCCCTTGTCTTCCCTCCCTCGCCCTGCACCCAGTCGATCACGGCCGAATACTCATCCAATTGCACCGGGTACTTGAACTCGGGCGCCAGTCTGTACTCCACCACGTAGACCTGACAGCCTGACTCCTCGGCGACCAGCCGCAGTCCGTTCTCAAACTCGTCTACCGATCCTACCGTATATCCACCTCCATGGAAGTATATCAAGGCCCCTGCTTTTCCTTTGTTGCGGTTGTCCTTTCCCGAAGTTGGGTACAGCACGCGAACAGGAATGGTCCCATGGGGTCCTCGGATGGCAGTAAACTCGACGTCGTCAATCGGATGGATTTTATCCTTGGGTAAGGCGTGGAGGCCAAACACGTCTTGATGGCGACGTCGCTCAACAGAAAAGTGTTCTTGGCCACCGAGCTCGAGGAGTGGGTGGGTGGAGAGAAAGTCGCGGATGGAGTAGTGGAGATCGCGAGCGCGGGACCCGACGGTAGGGATGCGCGGGCCGATGGAGGCGAGTGTTGCGGTGTTCGGCAGTGTCGAGGCCGTAGTGGTAGGAGGAGGAGAAATTATGGGGCGCTGGGGCCCTGGAGGAGAAAAGTTGAAGGCAGAGTTGTTGGACATGTTGTGATGATGTCTGCTGGCCGGAGCTGCGTTGTTGGCTTCAATTGTTGATGAATTGCACGAGAGGGAGAGAGACGGATTCAGCCGTAGTGAGAGGTCGGAGTGGTTCCCCGAGCGGGGCCTGGGATGGCACTTACAGGCGCCCGCTAGTGTACAGCAGTGAGGTACTGCGTAAAGTGCGCTGAGACCTCATGCTACACTAACATGCCTCGGGCCGCGATCCGCGACGTGATTGATTGACGTCACAATTGAAGAGATTGCCGACTACCTCTAGACTACTAGAGGCACCTAGGAAGTGGAAGACATCCCGAACATCGCAAGTGTTCATCTGAATCATGGAGCGGTTCAGTTGTGAGACAATTCATCGCATGTCTCAGTCCCCCTATCCCAGCCGTTGCGGGCCGAACCTAGAGTCCGCGACATGACAGCAAGGGATGGCTGTCTTTCCTCTCGACGACACCTTTTGTTTACTTTTTTCTTGTTTACATTCCTGATAGTGTATGTTGTCATTGGGTGTCTCTCAGCCTATCCCAAGGCGATGCCGCCAATACTTCCCATTATAGACCTCCAGTGGTCTGACTACCGTCTTGATCACTCACTGTCTTTCAACGTGGCAGGCTGGCAGGTTCTTGACTTGCAGGAAGCTATCGACAAGGGCCGTCGGGGTCCCCATTCGATGACGGAGAGAGTGCCGAATGATGGACATGCTCCACGCCTCATGTGCCAATTGATCTGTCCCGGGATTTTCCCCAGCCCCTCCACTCCCTAGTCAGGGTGAAGCATTGGTATGTGGAAAAAACGGTATATGAAGGCGAAAGTCTTTTTCACGAGACTGTGGTTTTGAAGGACATCATGACCATCATGATAATTCCAAGTTGACTTTGATGTCCACCTAGAGGCAGTTTCAACGGCGACGTTCCAAAACGACCTCACCTGCAGAGTAGCGCCAATCGACCAATCAGCATCCTCCTCTTATACAAGTGCGCGACGCCATCACCCTGATTCTGCAGTGGCCCATCGCCATTCGCTGCATGGTCCCCCGAAAGCGCCCGTCCACCCTCCCGATTTTTAGGCTCTGACACACCCGACCCCCGCGCCATGGCCGGGCGTATGCGCTACCAAGTTCGTCGTCTCGCTCTGCCATCCTCGTCGGCAAACCATCATTCAGGATGTGAGGCCCGAACCTACACCTGCACCGCGACCACCACCTACACCGATGCCGACTACGGGTACGGCTGGTATCAATTCGGCAGGATGCCACCCCAAAAAGTCCAGCCGCAATTCATAACCCTCCGCACAGCGAGCGCAAAGTCGTCCGTCGTCTCCAGTGTCTCGACTGCGACGTCCACAGCATCAAACGCGAGAGATTCAAAAACCAGACCCAAAGAAACCGCCGCCGGCACCGCCTCAACAACAACAACACCCATTCAAGACACAAGCCGTTCCGGCCTCTTCTGGGAGTCCGCCGGTCTCGACATCGAGCCCCGCTGGGCCCGGCAACCCGACATCGACGCCATTGCCCAAGTCGTCCGCCGCCACCTCGGAATAACCTCCCCCTCGCAATGCGTCGTTACCTTTCACTCCTCCGGCACCTACAACAAGCTCTACCACGTAAATTCCCCAGCCCACGGCTGCTACCTCATGCGCGTCATTCTTCCCGTCGACCCGCACAACAAGACCCGAGGCGAGGTTGCCTCGCTCCAGCTCGTGCGGTGCAAGACCGACATTCCTGTTCCCGTGGTGGTGGCCTATGACGATACGAGTGATAACGAGATTGGGTTCGAGTGGATCTTGATGGAGCTGTTGGAAGGACAACCGGCGCATTTGCGATGGAGGAAGATGAACATGCGGCAGAAAGAGAGATTGGTGGGCAGGATGGCCGAGTTCCAGGCGCAGCTGTCGAGGTGCGGAAACATGACGGATTCGGGATTTAGGGGAATAGGCACGCTGGGAGCTACCTCCAGGGGAGAGAGCGACTATGTGGACCTGATGATGCCCGAGCCTGGGCCTATGGTCTCTCCAGTGTTCTTTACGGGGGAGCGTTGGCATTATCCGGTGTCGAGAGGGCCGTTCCAATCAAGCCATGACTGGCTTAGGTCGTACCTCAACGTCATCATCAAGGAGCACAGCGCTACTCTTGCTCAGCCACCGCCCAGAATCCCCGACGATACAGACCGCGAGAAAAGGGAATCAGCAGAAGGAGTTACTCGAGTCGCCCGCAAGTTAGCCCGCCTCTTGCACAAACTCTTCCCGCAGCTTGTGCACCCACCAGAGCGTACAGTCCTTTGGCACGGCGACTCCCTGTCACTCGATAACATCCTCGTCGACGAAAACGGGCGCATCACGGGTGTCGTGGACTGGGAATGCGTGTCGACGATGCCGCGGTGGGTATCCACACAGTTCCCCGAGTTCCTGCGCGGCGGTGTTGAGCGCGAAGAGGAGCCGCACCGGAGCCGGTATGCCGATGTGTTTAGTGACGAGGAGGCCTCGGAGGAAGGACAGGATGGTGGCATGGAGGATGTTCCGGACAACGAAGGAAAGACGGAACTGTACTGGATACACCTAATGGAATACGAGCAGACGCAGTTGAGGAGGGTTTACAGCGCCAGGATGGGCCAGTTGATGGGTCACGGGTGGGATGCGGAAGTCGAAGAGGCCGCGCTCAAGGTGGACTTTCTGGGCGCGGTAGCTAAGTGCGCGCAGGGCTTGTACTTGAAGAGAATCGAACAATGGGTGGATGCGGTAGAAGGTAAGGAGTTTGTCAGGTTGGGGGATGTGTTGAGAGGGGGTGTGGCGGGGAGAAAGGATTCGAATGCGTCGACTACTTCGGGGCCGACAGACTCCAGAACAACGCCGGGAATAACAACAATAAAAACAACGGCGACATTGAGCCCGAAGCGCGGGACGGAAAATCAACGGCCACGGTTTTCCATCACCAAAATCTACTGACTTTTGACATACCCGACATCATGGTCATTTTCTTTCTATAGCTAGCGTTCTTGTTATAGCATGCCTTCCTTTTAGCGAGCGTTCATGGAATTCATGTCATTCCTCGTCTGCCGATCTCTCTTCCTACGGGATTGCCAATTTGCACTGTCTGGTGGTTGTTGACCCCCCCTTTTAGCTCCCCTTTCGCCAAGTTCGCCATTACTAGCTGGCGGTGTACGCGGTGTGCAAAGGAGGTAATTGCACCATCATGAAATACTCCGAGAAGCTATATCCATGACAGCAGCTGATGGTCAGTGCATTGGCGCCAAGTTGTTCGCTTGACCTTCTAGCGATTCTAGCTCATGCACATCACTCCCCAAGCGAAACAAGCATGGACCCCACACATCATATCACCACATGGTCCGGATGTTCAGGTGGCCAAAATAGCAACAGTCGTTTTGAGCCTCAACGACGATCGGCCACGCAAGCGGAATGGCTTTCAGGGGAAAAGGACGTTGAGACCTGGAGAAGATGCATCCATGTCGAGAATCTGTCAATCTTGACGATCACAAACATCTATAAGAACCTCCATCCTTTTTCTTCTCTGGCCATCTTTTCTCCTCATCATCACAACAACAACAACAAACAACAACAACTCACCAAACCAAACCAACTTCACCACACTCCTTTACCAAACCACCGCCAAAATGCAGTTCCTCACCACCATCTCTCTCCTCGCCGCCGCGGCCGTCAGCTCCGTCTCCGCCGCCCCCACCAGCAACCAGTACACCGAGGTTATGGGCAAGGTCACCTTTGGCCTCGAGCGCCAGTGCCCCATTGACCACATCAAGTATCCCGCCATCGAGTTCCCTGCCAACACGGAGAGCAACCACTGCCGCACCTTCTACGCTGGCGCCGTCTTCCAGTCCATCGACGTCGAGTTCTTCGACCCCAAGTGCCAGCTCACCGTCTACTCCACCTACGACTGCTCTGACAGCGGTATCGTGTCCGGCTCCGGTGGCTGCTGGAACCCCGAGGGTGGCATCAAGGCCTACAAGGCTACCTGCCCCTGGAAGCTCTAAGTCATGATTTCGGTGAGTTTAGGTGTCTGGGGAGGAATGCTTGGAAGAATGCATGGCTAACATGTGGCAGACTGAGATGAGAGAAACAGTGCCAGGATGGGGAGCAGTGCGAGGAGAGCCCGGGGTTTGTGGAGTAGAGGGGAACACGGAGTTAGGGATACGGGGATAAGGGAAAGATGGAGTTAAGGGGTGTGAAGGGGACGGGGGCGGCTTGGGGGGATTTGGGTGGGGGTTGGGAAGGAGTCTGGGGACTGGAAGGCAAAGGGGTGAATGGGGGGCACTGACACTGGCACTGGGAAACAACACTGCATTGAGGCGCGTGGGGGGAAACAACTACACTCTTTAATCACTTTTCTCTGTACATACAACAACAACAACAACTCGAACATAGCATCATGGATCATTCTAGATTCCATCATCATCAGCATTATTCAGCCAAGTATCACAAGGGTTTCGCGGGACAGAACCATGAGTCGCTGGTGCCGGGTTGGCACGGACCGCTTTACCCCTGTTTTGTAAGCGAGTCCTGTCCTTGTCTACCCCTCCGTAGATGTAGATCCGGTCCATCGTGCCGGTCGTTCTTGCTTATAAACCATGTTTCGAGGTAAGTATAAGAAGCTCCGAGCATCTCCTTGTTTCTCGACTTTTTTTGCCATTGACATTGACAACAAACTCAACCACCACTGAGAAGACCCATCCACTACCTACACAAAATGCCCACCTACGTCGTCACCGGCTCCAACCGCGGCATCGGCCTCGAAATCGTTCGCCAGCTCACCCAGTCCCCAGAGAACACCGTTCTCGCTCTCGTCCGCAACCTCTCCAAGGACCACTCCTCCCTGAAATCCCTCGCCAGCGAGAAAACCCACATCCTCGAATGCGACACCTCGTCGCTCTCCTCCATCCGCGATTTCGCCAAGACCGCCCGCTCCACTCTCGGAGACACCAAGATCGACTACGTCATCAACAATGCCGGCGTCAACCTCTCCGAGCAGAACTCGTCGTTGCAGCTGGCCCCCGATGACTTGCTGGACACCATCAAGACCAACGTCCTCGGTCCCGCAAAGCTGCTCGAGTTCCTCCTCCAGCAGGGCCTGTTGAGCGAGAACGTCAGGGTGCAGAACATGAGCTCTACGCTGGGCAGTGTGCAAATGTCGCTGAGCGGCTTGGGACGGGCCACGGGGTACTCGATCAGCAAGGCCGCGTTGAACATGTTGAATGCCCATCTGGCGACCGACCTCAGAAAGGCGGGCTTGAAGGGTGCCGTGGTGATCGTGATGTGTCCGGGGTGGGTCAAGACGGACATGGGTGGTGACGGAGCGATGCTGAGCCCGGAGGAGAGCGTGGCCGGGCAGTTGAAGGTTCTGCAGGGGTTGAAGGACGAGGACAACGGCAAGTTCTTTAACTATAGGGGGGAGAATGTGCCTTGGTAAATGTTTTGGGGGAAGCCTCCTGGGACAAAAGACATGATAGCGTTTGACATGATAGCCAGAAGGATATCTTAATGGACATAAAACCTTTCTATGACCCTTGGAATACAATCCATGATATGAATGACGGAAACGCTGTTCGCTGAACCATGGAAATACTCATCTAAATCCCATCAGTCTCTCGCCGGCCAGAACCACAATGGCCGTCAAGAGAACCTGCAACATCACCGCCCAAATGCTCAATGAGCTGCACCAATTCCTTCGAGAATACGGCAAGTTCCTCGCCATCGGCCCAACCATCTTCTCAATCGGTACAATCCCCTCCTTTTCACCCATCTTCCTCGCCACCTCCATGCCCGGTAATCCATCCAAGCTCCAAGCGTTCTTGTACGCCCAGTATCTGTATGCCGTTAGCTGTCAGCATCCTCCAGTCTTCTACCACCCAGATCAAAAGCCAAACTAACCGTTCAACGCTCTCCTTACTCAGTCCCTTCTCGAACCTTTCCACCTTCTTCCGCCAATGATCATTCAACACCTCCCTCCTCTCCCTAAACTCCATCACCGGCACCGCAAACCCGCAACTATCGCCCACCAGCTCCACCTCCACCACCACGACACTTCTGGCGCCTGGGACCACTTCGACGCCTTCCTTCTTGGTCCACTCTTGAAACTCCTTCGTCCCATTCTCCAACACCTTTCCCCGTCCAAACAATCTCACAATCCTCGGCGCCGCTTTGCCAAATTCGCAGAACATGACTGTGATCCGCCCATTTTCCGGTTCGTACAGATGGGCAATCGTTTCCGATCCAGATCCGGAGAGGTCGAGATACCAGAATTGGGCCGGCTTGGTTGGTTCGGACTCGTGGGTGGGAATGTAGCCAAAGGAGTTGATGTTGGGGAAGGTGCCTTTGGGCGAGACGTTGATGTGGCCCTGGGGAGAAAGGGGAGCGGTGGTGACAAAGAAGACGGGTTGCGAGAGGATCCAAGGCAGGAGAGAGGGAGGGAGAGTGGTGTGGAATTTGCCCATTTTGGTTGGTTACCAGGTCGAAGTTTAGTGGAGGTTGATGGTGTCGTTGACAGGAAATGGGCCACATTTGCTTTTGAATAAGAGCGGTACCATGGTCTTCCTGGTTTGACTCATGTGAAGAAGAGTCATTCATTGAAGCTGAAATGTGGAGAGCCCATTACGGAGGGGAAAGTGCAGCCGGTGCTACCGTCTTGAATCCGAGCGGTCGAATCGGTTTAGTTGCCGTCCAGCCAAAAAGAGGAGGTGACGGCTGATCATTGGCTTTTAGACATGAGTCTGTGCCGATTGCCGTATCAAGCCGCGGGACAGCGAGATGAAACAGCTCTCGAATTCGCCGATTGAACATAGACTTATGACTGTATCCTCCATTGATCTTCGGAATGACGGACTGTTGATACTAAGCAAACATTACCACATTACCAAGAAAAAGACGCACCTAGGACAATGTCTGTTTCTTTCATCTTTTCTCCTTTCACATCTTCCCCTACCTCTCAATCGTAAAGATATCCACGCCCGCCAAACACAGATCCGCCACGCTGAAAGCTTACCTACACGACTCAGTCGCGTTCGGGTTCCGCATCACCACCGGATACTGTGCGCACGACATACCCTGTGGCGGGTTGAACGTCAAAGTCTTTTCGGCGTCTTTAGCCTCCTGCTGCAAGCGGGTGGGGGCGTGGCCTCTTCAGAAGACCAAATCCTCGGCGGTGCTGGTATCGAACCAAGTTCCGTGGCCAGCACGTTGATAAGCATGAGGCCGGCCAGAAAATACCGAGTATGTCAGAATGGCGCCAGACGTGGGCATGGGTGTATCCGTAGGTGGCCTTGATGTACATGTCACCAGAGACAGTGCAGCACCGGACTAGCAAAGATCCAGGGGTCCCCGATGCGGTTCGGATAGGACAACACTCGAAGAGGTTAAATCACTCCCACGGACCTCGCTGGCAATGAGGATCTCGAAACCGTAGGAGGACGAGGTTGGCGAACATCATTATAAAGGTAGCGGTGCGGTCGCCCCAGTTACGCTGGTGATAGCGGACGGTGTATGCTTTGATTTGCGTAGCGATACTGTCGTATGGATGGGTTAGCACGATATGGATCACAAGAAGGAACTCAAGGAGAGGAAGCGCATGAGATTGTTGATGGTGGCTTGGGCTTGACGTGCTTGGCCTGCCGACGTTCCTTGTGCTAACGAATCTGGGCTATAGCTCCCGTCTTGCGCTCATCACACTCCTTCTCTTCCTGCAAGGCCTTGTATTCGGGGAGATTCGCGCCAGTACGAGGGATCTTGAGCTCCATGCCTTGACGGGCCGTCTTTCGTGAGGGTTGATGACGGTTGTGAAAAAGTCACCGGTGGTCTGACGAGGGAAGCGGTACCAGCTCTGACGTTCAAAGAAAAACTTGGTCATGGATGTCGCACCAAACTAGATCTGCCCACCTTCGCACAACACGGGGGCCGTGTCGAATTCGTCGCCGATGGCTTGGCTGGCTTAGTAAATGGCAACAGAATGGGCATGGTAACCCATGTTAGACGACTGCCGGCGAGGAACACATCGGCGATACTGACACGGTTGCGTTGACCACCACTAACGCCCCGAATAAAGTCATCACCGACCTTATACGGTAAGTGTGACTGAGACCAGCGACAGCCATAACGACTTCATGTGATGACAGTACTCGGCTCTGGACACGTTTTCGATGCGGATGGCAGAGGTCGGACGGTTGCTGCGAACTCGAGGGTCTGGCCGACGGAGAGATGGAGAAAAAACTTGTCGACCCTGTGGTTGCAGAGGACCTCGCCCTGAAACTCCTTGGCCATTTGGTGCTGGGGAATACCGTTGTAGTGGATTACAGCCTTCCCGTCGAGATGAAGAATGTGCAGCTCTCCGCAGATGTTTTCAGGACAGCGCTGCATCCAGGACGGCCAAAAGCGACGAGTTCACCACTTTGGAAACGACCATTGAAGTCGTGAAGAATCTGGGCTTGGTCTTGCCAAAAGAAAAGATGTCGCCAGGACGGAAGCCTGCAACTGAAGCTCGGAGCCGGTATCGAAGACGCTGAGGTTGCTGAAGGATACGCTCGGATGGGCATATTTGGCTTGGCCCTCGGGCTGGAGATGGGTGATGAAGTCCTTGACGCACTCGGACAAATCGAAACGGTCGCTTTCAAAGTCGAGGGCGGGTCCTCGTGATGGTGGGCTGCGGCATGCGATGGAGGGAGAGCATAGTTGCGATTCTTTGGAGCTCTGCGGTATCGGCTTTCCATGAAGTGGCGGCACTGTGGATGTCGGAACATGTCGTGGTACTCGAAAAGACCCTTTGAGCATGTGAGGCGGCGTCCCGGAGTGCCAGGGTACTTGGCTCGACCATAGTGCTGTTGTAGTTGCTGCTGAAGCTTAGTTAGGATTAGTAAATCACGGTGCGAAGATAGACATTGCAGTAACACAAATATCACCAGGGATGGCATCGCACAACAACAGCATTCCAGTCAGCAAATCAGTAGACAGAAACCGAGGCCAAATACACTTGTAGCTGCCAGCCCTGGCTTCATGATCCGTCGGCATCATCACAACGCTTGACAGGCTGTTCCAGAACTAAAATGTCCGCCGTGGCCCATCCATCTCGTGTCCCGAAGGAAATTGGGCGACCTTCAGCTTCACATGCTTCTCGGTGGTGGAGCAAACACCGCCGGAATGATTCCGACAAGTGGCGACGTGAAGATGACAATGCGAAACGATCCAGGAAGTCTGTCATTGCCAGCGATTCATCTCCTGATTCGGTGGCTAAGCATGGGCAGTCGAGACTTGTTGTGTGCGGGATGGCGTCGAAGCGAAAGGCTGAGAAATGGCCGATGCCGACAGGTGGGCAATGGGCGTTGGAGCCGTGGTAAGCATATACCGAACACGGAAACTGACCATCCGATACTAAAGATGCTTCGTGGAAAGTCAGGAATATGTCGGTGGGATCAATTTCCAAGCCAACCTCAATGTGTAAAAGAATGGACATGACGCCGTTGGTTTGGACGGGAAACAAACAGGTGGTGGGGTCGGCGCTGTGCCTAGGTACTTATCTTATCGCTGTTGGTCCTGTCAGCCTTATCGGACTGAGACCAGCCTAGGTGTTTATCGTCAAAACCAGGCTATTCCTATATGCATATGCCAGAACTTCAGTGCATGGCACCTTGAGGTCCAACTCCTGGCGGCAACTGAACACCAAACGGGAAAGCATCCAAACCGCAATCACCACGATTCACGGGACAGACCGGAGCGCAGGGTCGCCCACACCGGCTTCCAATCTTCTTGCCATTTACCATTTGCCTGGCGCACGATATTTCTTATGATCCTTTCTAGTGTATAACTTGTAGTAATGTTGTTTTCCACCCCCAAATCGCGGTCGCGCCGTCAGTGGCTTCTCCCGCTCGTCGCCATCACTACCTCTCTAGCCACCCATGTCGCCGCAGCCGAGATAGCTCCTCATGAGTTGCCGTCTTACCACTATGGCGCTCCCATTCGTGTTGAGTGCATGAATCGCAGCTCGTAAGCTCCATGTCCCTTTTGTCCTGTCCTGACACGGCTTCTTCCATCTTTCGTCCCATCTCCTTTCTTCTAGCCGTTCCCGTCGCAACCCTTCATTGCCCAGAACACATGCTAACCGCTCAATGCCACAGAGAAACCGGCGAACACATTGAAACCCCCGCCCACGAAATCCAATGGATCCCCTTCCCCATGTGCGAAGAAACCAAAGCCCCCCTCGAATTCAACTACGGCATCGAGACCGAGCAGAACTGCACGATCCCCATGATCGACGACCCCTTCTTCCACCTGCTCGAGTTCTACATCCACTCCGACGCTCCTCTTACCTGCCGCCTTCCCGCGCGCCCTCCCCCGCAAGTCGAGATCGTAGGCGAGAAGCCCCACGTTACCGAATACGTCCCGCTGGTCTTTGCGCTGGCTGGGACGCTGCAACTCAGCCATATGCACATCTCGACGCACATGAACGTGCTGTTGCATTCCACGCCAAAACATCATTTGCACAAGAAGGATTCAGGGGTGTTGGATAGCGCTACGGCGTACTCTACCTCTCCCCTGACGCACATGGAGGGAAGCTCTACGAGGAGACTGGTGATTGGGGACCCCCTACCGCTGCAGTTTTCCGTCAGATGGTTCCCGACGCCGGAGCTCCCGCGAGTGGAGGGGAAGGTGGAGTGGCAGGGCATGGGAGGGCACATCTACGCCAGCACCGTCTTCTACGCTCTGTTGTCGTTTGGAGCGGGCGTGTGTGTGAGCAGTGTTTGGTTCTTTGGGAGCGTGTTGCCGCAGCGGCTGAAGGGGAGGAGCTTGGGGGGAGCGACCCCGTTGGGATACGGTGGGGGCGTGGGTAATGGTTGGGGTTACCAGCCTGGGAAGAGGGCGGATTGAGGTTATAGATGTTGATACGATAATGTAATGTTTCTTTGTCCTTGACGCTTGATGGACGACACCCTGGGAGTCGAGGCGTATGTCGTGGTGCAGTGGCACTGGCGCGGCCCTGTTCACCTCGGTGTACACACCCCTAGTCTGCAGGGGTCAGGGGTAGCTTGCCGTTCACGCCAGCCGATTGGGCATCACTGTCAGCTTTCCCCGGCCCTCCAATTTGGGGAATCTGGGGTCAACAATCTTTCAGACACGCACCGCTTTCCGTCCTTTCGCAATCACCATCGTTCATTCGTCAAGACAGGTGAAGGACGTCCGATCAACAAACAAAATGGCCGTTTACAACGAATCCCGCCTGAACTACGTTTGGCTGGCGTGGTTCGCGCTGTCGATCCCCATCATTCTTTGTACGTTCCCTCTTAATATCCAGCTACCAGGCTCGGCCTATACGAGACAACAGGAACCATATCCGTCCCTACCTCCCTCCTCCAAAGTCACTAACCTCACCCCCTCCTAGTCATCGATGCCCTCCACTTCTACCCTTCGTCCTGGTACTCCTCCCCCTCCGCCCCGCTACACATCTTCCACCTAGCCCGCCAAGACTACATCGCCCAATACAACGACCCCATCGTACAGTGGTCTCCCTCCACCTCCGTCCCGGGCTCCCACGACTCCTGGATCGGTTTGTTCTTGTATCTCGAATTCGGCTTCACCTTGCCCGTGGTGCTCTACGGATTCTTTCTGTTGGCAGTGAAAAGAAAGGGAACCACGGGACGGGATGAGCTCCTTTTCCTCGTGTATGCGCTGGAGACGGCCTTGACTACCTTGGTGTGTATCTACGATGTTGGGTATTGGGATCCGGCCGTGTATAGCGAGGAGGCGAAAAGAACCATGGTTTTGCAGTTCTTTGGGCCGTGGTTTTTGGTTCGTAAGTTTCCCTGTTCTTCTATAAGTGGTCAATCGGGATATGCTGACAACAGACAAACAGCCAGCATTATGGCTGTTGACATGGCTAGGAGGATCCTGGGGAGAATCAAGGTTGCTGATGAGGCTATGGAGGAGAGGCAGAGGAGAAAGGGGCAGTGAATCCAGACTCCCAAGTTGTGGTTCGATTTCCACGCCGTGCTTGTTTCAAGTAAACCGAGAAACCATGCCTTCCACACATGTTGACAAATTGGTGGATCACACACATGGCCGTTCGAATCATGCAGTAAATTACTATCTTTTTTGTCTAAGCTGCACCGGGGTATCATTCTATGTAACACCGCCGCCTTCTTTTTTGAGTGTACATCCAGAAAAATGAAAATTCAACATAAGACGCTTGTGTAAATACAGATTACAAGGCATGGTGTATATGCCCGTTCCATCGTTCCCTGTTCATATCCAATCCACTCCTCATCCATCGTTCGTAACCCATAACGTACATCAATCCTTCCATTATACCATCCCCTTAACCCATAATACCCGTTCCAATCTTCTTCCAGATACTCGTAGGCTCCTCAACCTCGTCGGGGATCTCAGCATCCAGATCCAAAGACCCAGTAGTAACATCCATGTCCTTGGCAGAGACCGGCTTACACGCCGCAGCGCCGTGGACAATGAGGGTGTAGAGCTTGTGGCCCAGGTACATGACAGCAAAAAGGATGAGCGAAACGTACGCCACGAAGAATTCTTCGACGCTCCAGGGCATGAACGCGGTGAAGCCTTGGGTCAGGGTAATCAAGATGCAGAAGAACAGGGCGTAGTAGACGTAGTAAGGGGCCCAGGTGGCGCGATAGGGCAGCTTGGAGCGGGGGATGCCGTGCGCCTCAAGACCCTTCATGAAGCGGAGGTGGGCGATGAGGATGCCGGACCAGGCGATGAAACCCGCGACGCCCGAAATGTTGAGAAGCCAGTCGAAGGCCTGGCTGCCGTTGGGAGAGAGGTTGAGGAAGCCGAGGAAACCGAACGCCGAGGTGAAAATGACGGCAATATAGGGGACGCCGGACTTGGTGGTCATCTTGAACCACTTGGGGGCCATGCCGTCGTTGGCGAGGGAGACGAGGACACGAGAGCCCGAGTAGACGTTGGAGTTGGCGGCAGAGAGGACGACAGTAAGCAAAACAGCGTTGATGATGTCGGGTAGGACCTTGACGCCGGCGAGCTGGGCCGCAATGACAAAGGGAGAGGCAGCCGCGGTGTAGCCGCCATTGTTCAGGTCCTTGTTGTCGTACGGGATGAGGATGCCGATGAAGAAGACGGTCATGATGAAGAAGAGGAAGATACGGTAGAAGGTCATGCGGATCGCACGGGGGACGTTGCGGCGCGGGTCTTCGGTCTCGCCAGCAGCGATACCGACAAGCTCGGTGCCCTGGAAGGAGAAGCCGGCCTGGATCATGACGGACCAGAAACCAACCCACTTGGCGACAGGGCGGCTAGGGTCAACAATGTAGGGAGCAAAAGCACCCGGCTCGTGCCAGTACTTGAAGCCAATGTAGCCCTGCTGACCGGCGCCGGCGTTGATGCAGATGCCGAAGATGAGGAAGCCGAGGACGGTGATGACCTTGACAGAGGACATCCAGAATTCAGCCTCGCCGTACCAGGACACGGGGAACAGGTTGATGACGAAAATGACGACCCAGAAGATGGCAATGAAAATACCGATGGACAGAGAGTCGTCCCAATATTGAATGATCAGACCAGTAGCGACCAGCTCGAGCGCAAAGGTAATGGCCCAGGAGAACCAGTAGATCCACGACATGGAGAAACCGAGAGAGCTGTCGACGAAGCGAGCCGCGTACGTGGTGAAACCGCCGGTAACGGGGACGTAGGTGGCCATTTCACCGAGGGACATCATGATGCTGTAAACAATGGAGGCGATAAAGCAGTAGCCGATGAGGACGCCAGCAGGGCCCGACTTGGCGAGGGCACTGCCAGAACCGATGAAGAGACCAGTACCAATAGTACCACCTATGCTGTCAGTCAGTCGGTGTCCTGCTGGAGAGAAAATCCCGAACTACATACCAATGGCAATCATTTGCAAATGGCGAGACTTGAGCCTGCGCTTGAGCTCGGGACCGGCGTTGTGCTCGGCAAAGGAGGCCGCATCGTCATCAGCGGTGGACTGTTCCTTGACAAAGTCCTTTTTGGTTGCGCTTCCGGGTGGCGATCCGGCAGCGGAGGAGCCGGGACTCGCTGGCGCCGGCGGCGTACTTTCTCGCACCGCCATGTTTGTGTGTATATGTCTCTTTGTCGCTCAGCTGAGGGTTGCTAGGACAGTCGTTGTCGGGCGGTGCGGTGTGGGTTGTGGTCTTTGCGCTTCTTGAGCTAAAGATGGGACGAGAGGGAATTGATGTCGTCTGGAGTTGTGGCGAAGAGACGGCGAGGACCGGACGCGCTGGAGTTGGACCCTTCTGCCAACTGCGTCTTTAAGGTTTCGGCCAGGGCAGAATTGTGCAGGACAAGTGGAATCGAGGAACGTGGCTGGAGTGCTTCTAGTGGACTGTAGTGCGAAGGGACGAGATCAGCAAGAAAGATAATTGTATGACGGGGAGGGGTCTGGGGTTATTGACTCAGTTCGTTGTACTCTGGGCGTGAAGCGTCACGGTAGCAGATGGGTACGCGCTAGCTTTTTTCCACTTGCCTGTGTCGGAGATGTGACTCTGGAGAGGCAAGACTGCTCTGGGCAAAGCGTGCTACCGGTTCTAGCCGGGTGGAGCCCGAGGGGGGGGGGGGGTGTTATCAGGATCGGCGGGGGTGGCCAGGCCATCTGAATGGTGGATAGGTTTGAGGCGCTGAGGAGTTATCTTTGATGATATCTCTAGCGTCGTTGTCAATGTCTTGGAGCTTCCGTAGTGGGAACAGCGACCGACATTACCTCTGCGCTTTTCACCGGTGTTCTCGAACGGGATTGGCGATGCCGTCTTTTCGGGAAGGTTAGGGTTAGCACTCAATGCGCCGGGGCAGCCACACATCGGAAGATTTCCATGCATGGACGAAACGCCACCCGAACCAACAGAGCAGGAATTCTCGAAATTGGCCCGCCTTCGAGAACACCAATGGACGGGTGTGCCCCTGGTTTGATGTGGGTGAGTTCGTCTCATTGTGTCGTCTCATTGATAATTTCTTCATGACCATGCAGTCTGAGCGCACTGCACACCCACGCTGTTGGGTTGCAGTCCGTGTTCTGAGGTTGCCTTGACAGCTTGGCCCCACACTTGACACTTCTTGACAGCCCCTGTCGGCCCTTGTCTATCGCCCGACGGGCCGTGGCCATTGATCTTCATTACCAAATGAAGGTTGTCAGGAATTCAAACACACTTCAGGCCTCCCCCCCGCGAACCAACAGATTTCAGAGCCTCCGGGGTTCAATCACGCAATGCAGGTGCGAGGAGCACGGGCTGAATACATGGAGGCCTGTCTTCACGTGCGGAAGGCAGCATCCAACACCCACCCCCGCCTTTTTCCCCCTGACAAAAATTTTCTGGGGGCTGTGATTGGTCAATGGCGGCTACAGTCGTGCCGGCTGCACGGCCGTGCGTCGTCATTCCGGTCAACTCGGCCTGTCTCGTCCGCTCGCTTGTCTCGGTTTGGGAGCGACACCTTCGACTGGATGCACTTCGGAAATGACATTTCGTGGGGAATGATAACGACTTCAAACCTCTCGGGCTTCTCATTATACATCATCAAACTACATGCAAACTAAGACTCGCCAGCGCATGTTCTCGCAAGAAAATATCGCATTCTTCACCGACGGCAACAATGTTGACGATATTCCGCCGATCTCCGAGTGCCGCGCAGTGTGCCCGCTAGTGGCTCAGCTTTCGCCCTTCACTAATCTGGCTGCGGATCCTGCATTCTTAACATCTTCACAACAACACTGACTGTCTTGTCCATCAAGAGCCTCAGCGATTGTTTTCGATGCCCAGCGACGATGTTTAATGACTCCTTGGCATTCGGGACTTCCCCCACTCTTCCGTCTTGACCACGCCGACAGGGTCGCGGACGACTTGATGTGTTTCGGTCGGATCGATGCGATTTCTGAGGACCCACCTTCCTTTTCGCTACCATCCGACGAGAAACACAGCCAATGGTCGCGACTTATTGTCCTGACAATGCAGAAGAGTCCATTGGAAGTGGGCGAAACATGAAATATTGCGATCGAATACGACGTGCCGACTTTGCATGCTGGGCTTTCACTCCTTTCCATCATTCCAAATGGGCGTTTGCTGCCACTACCTCAGACGACTCGGGTTCTGGTCACTCTAGATGGACGCCAGCCAAGTGACTGCAACATCCCCAACACGAATGTCGACAGCATGTCTCGAGTCTTTTCACCCAAGTGACGTGTAGCAACGGCTCTCACGATATCTGAGGATTCAGCGCACCGTCTTCCTCCGATGATGTTGGCAATGGAAGGCAAACAGTTCCACATGGACCAGCAACCCGAAAACGGTGCTGGCAAAGGAAACATTGCACTCGAATCAAGGACCAAACAGCATCATGGACAACACATAACTAGATTATCCACTCCACTACAGCCACAAACATGGCTCGTTCGTGCAATTGCCTTGGATCGGAGACCACGGATGTCGCGTGTATGCTCTCCTTCGTCGGACGTTGTGCGTGTGCAAGTTGGGTTCCAGCAAGTGGTGATGTCATGGTATCCAGTCGCGATAGGAGACCCACCGGTCACCACCATGGAGACAATCATGGCGATGTCAACATCCAACCCGATATAAAGACAGCAGCCGTGATCTAGGAGGTTTGGATGTTGTCTCAGCATAGTATCCCACGCCAGATTTTACCATCATCGCAATCATGTCTTCAGTAAGTTTGTCTTTTGTGCCCTCCACAAGATCCGCCCATACTAACCTCTACTTCTTCTAGAATGACGCACCAGTTTACACACTTGCCGAGGGACGCCCCGTCCAGGACCCTTCGGCTGCCACGGTCCTGATGGGCTCGAAGCCTCGTGGCGGAGCCCTCTCTCTCCTCGCAGACACCCAGTTGATCGAAACCCTCGCACACTTCCCCCGAGAACGCATCCCCGAACGTGTCGTCCACGCCAAGGCCGCCGGTGCCTGGGGAGAGTTTGAGTGCACGGAAGATGTCTCGGACTTTACGTCTGTTGACTTTCTCAACAAGGTCGGAAAGAAGACCAAGGTCCTGGCCCGTATCTCCACGGTAGCGGGCGAGAAGGGCTCTGCGGATACAGTTCGTGACATCCGCGGTTTCGCCGTCAAGTTCTTCACCGAGGAGGGCAACTGGGACTTTGTCGGCAATGACCTGCCCGTCTTCTTCATCCGCGATCCCGTCAAGTTCCCCAGTCTCAACCGCTCCCACAAGCGCCACCCCCAGACCAACGTGCCCGACTCGACCATGTTCTGGGATTTCCACAGCAACAACCAAGAAGGCGTCCACTGCTTGATGCAGCTCTTTGGCGGCCGTGGCATCCCCGCCTCTCTCCGCAATGTCAACGCCTTTGGCAACCACACCTACAAGTTCGGCAAGCCCGAGGACGGCACGTTCAAGTACGTCAAGATCCACTTGAAGCCCGACGCCGGCATCAAGAACCTCGAGTCCGACGAAGCCCTCCGCCTGGCTGGCGAAGAACCCGACTACCACATCAAGGACATGTACAATGCCATCGAGCGCGGCGACTACCCCACCTGGACCATGTACTTCCAGATCATGGACCCCAAGGACGCCGAAACCTACCGGTACAACATCTTTGACATTACACAGACCTGGTCGCATCGGGATTATCCTCTGCGTCCCATCGGTAAACTCAGGCTCAACAAGAACCCGGAAAACCACTTCCAGGATATCGAGCAAGCCGCCTTCTCCCCCTCTACCATGGTCCCTGGCATTGGCCCTAGCGCGGACCCCATGCTCCAGGCTAGAATGTTCTCCTACCCTGATGCCGCCCGCTACCGTGTCGGTCCCAACTACCAACAACTCCCTTGCAACCGCGCCTTGCACGTCTATTCTCCGTATCAGCGTGACGGCCCAATGCGAGTAGACGGTAACTATGGTGGCGACCCGGATTATGTGCGGTCTTCCTTCCGTCCCATGCGTTTCGGTCCCCCTGACGTCGCTCACGACGAGTGGGCCGGTAAGGTTGCCTTGTTCACCTCGGAAGTGACCGACCTCGATTTCGAGCAGCCGAGGGATCTGTGGAAGGTCTTCAAGGAGACCGGAGAAGACAAGCGGTTTGCCAAGAACGTGGCGGCGCATGTGGGCAAGGCGTTGCCGGAGGTGCAGAAGAAGACAATCGAGATGTTTAGTAAGGTTGATCAGGAGGTGGGAGAGGCTATCCAAAGGGAGTTGGATGAGCTTGAGAAGAAGGGCGGTGCGGGCATTGAGCATGACAAGGCACCGGTAAAGGGGAAGGGAATGAGGTGTAAGGATTCAAAGGATGATGAGTGATGCATTGCAACTTGTGAATGATGATTGAATTCTATAGCGCATTTGTTAGAAAGGTCTTGTATTTTCTCGATTCGATTCTCTTGCGTCCTGCTTCCTGCGAATGCCAGTCGTTCCTGCATCACTCATGCATTCTGCACTTTCCTTGCTTGCGTCAATCGTCCCTAACCGGCATCAGAACAGTCTTTCTACATCTCCGCGGGCATCCCAGGCAAGTGATTGTCTCAACTTCTGATCGACCAGTCAATTAGCCATCGGTCAGTCCGTCTCTCCTTTCGATCCAGTGGGTTTATGCTAACCTTGCTTCCCATCACAGCATCGTATTGCTCCCCGACTCCGCTAGCCAGTATACCGATCGAACGCGCAGTCGTCTCCCGACAACGGCCCGAGCCCAAATTCAGAAGAACACTCCATATCCTCGACCACTCGGCTGTGTGGGACAGTCCATCGCCGTTCACCTGTCGCCAAGTGTTTCTGTCGGCACGGCCCAAATACAACGCAAGATGCACGAAGACTGTTCAGCTCGTCGATTTCGCGGAGGGGAACTTGGCAGACACGAGGATCCTGGAGAGATTTGCATGCACGATTATACATGGTCGAAATCAAGGGTCAGGAAATGCAAGGCATCCACGGCTATGGCCCCGTTTGCCTCCCATGCCAGTCTTTCGAGGTAGGTATATTTTCCAAACCGATTTTTACACCCTTCTTCGACTCTTCTGTGCGGGCTTCAGGTACTGACGAGCATCAACACAGTGACTCGTTTAAAGCATCGTGTCGTCCCTCAATCTGCCATGCCTCTCTGCCATTTACGATCTCGTCCCATCGTTGCGAAGCTGTCCCGGCCATCTTCCCATCCAAACCGAACACATACAAATATCCGGGTTCTACACCCGAGCTTGCCCTCGAGTCTCGAAGGCAAACCACGAGATATACCATGCGCTCATGTCCATACAGACGTGCTTCCTCTCACCATCGACGTTAGCATCTGAGGTTCAGAGGCATTCCCCCAGTAGGGAATCTCGCGCCAGTCGTCTCCGATTCTGCTCGCTAGCCCAACACGAGTGGGCTCCCACCAGTCCGCTGAAACCTGACACCGAGGAATCTATTTACCGAAAACGACTGCACAACAGCTTCACAAGTGCTCGCCAGTAACCATCATGCCATCCGAATCCACCGATACATTTGCCATCATAAAACGGCCAGCCCTACCAACGGCGGACGAAAGGCTTGAGCAGGGGTGCAAAAGAGACCACACGGGGGCTTGGACTATGGTCGGGAGCTGGTATAAACCGATGGATCGAGTGATCTATATTTTTAAAAAATCGTGATGCAGGCGGAAGGGTGTTGCTGTGCAGCGAAGCTTTATTTCTAACCGATTCTTCCCCCAATATGGTCTTTACCATCGCATAAATCGTATACAGAAGACGTTCGCTTCCAGTTTCATTACTTTGTGCACCAACTGTGCCTCTCCCATGATCAGTTGACCTTGAGGTGATATCGCTCCGGGCGTAGTGGTTGGTCGAGAAACCCCTATGGCATTCAGGCTGTTCAGCCAAGAGCTTGTTGGCGCCAACGGTCCATCTTTGTGCTGTGCTTATAGTCGTTTCCAGTCGATTGGGTCGGTTTTATATCCGTGCAGATACCAGCTGTGTGTTGCTATATAAAGACATGAACCAGTCACTGCCCAAGAGTCAAGGGTACCAAGCCCCAGTTACACTGGCACCTTGTCAATACTACATCGAATCAAGCCAGTGTCAGCCCAGTATCACGGCCGCAAATAGTGCCCATTAATACGCCTTATGTCTTGGCTTTTACAAGGGTAAGAATCTTTATATGTAGTCCACTTCGCTGGAGCAACATCATCCCTTTGCTTTGCATCCCACAACCAACATTTGCTACCACAATTCCTGAGCAAAAGCTAGCCACATTTCAGCACTGCAGGACCAGCCGGTATGTGCAACAGCTGTTTTTGATATGATATCAACCAGACTAACAAGACCGTTCAGCCACCTACCACCGAAATGTCCGTCAACCGCACGTGCGACCACGATGCCCTACCCGACCTCCAGGGCATCCCCGGTCTACCCATGGACCGCAGCGTTTTTGTTATTCCCAACTGGAACGAATCGTTTGTGGGTATGACCAAGTGCTGCGCCCCCAACGAGGTGCACATTAGTGGCGATTACGGGTTCGAAGGATGCGTCTTGTGGTGCTTGATTCCAGACTCCTTTCTTAAAGCACGAGATGGGCAGAAGCTCGAGGAGGGTGCGGTTCTTGACGAAATGAGCTACTGTATAAGGGCTAAGACTGGCATTTCGAGGTATATTAGTGGCGGCCAAGTGAAGAACAATTCGGCGAGTTCGAGGACGACATTACTCGGGGTGGGAGTTTGGGCCCTGTTGGCTGTTGGATTGCTGGTGTGAAGTTAGATATTTGGTGTGTAGTCGAGCGCTGGTCATGACGAATGGAATAAAGTCAACATTATAATGATCACGACCATCAGAACATAAAGCAAAGCCAGCATCACAGGCGTTGGATCACATGGAACATCAAAAGGGTCGCATAACAATGGGATTTCAACTGCCTACTCCCAATCCTCCAAGTTCATCTGCATACGCACAATCGTCATCTCAAGATCTGCCATGTCATTCAACCGAGCGTCCACTTGTGACTGAACGGGAGCAACACGGCCAGCCGGAACAAGAGCGCCAGCTTGGGCAACAGGACCAGCCGGGGCAACATGGCCAGCTTAGGCAACATGGCCAACCGGGGCAACAGGAGCATTGGGAGGAGCCGGAGCATCATCCAGGTCTATAGCGTTGCTATTAGAAGCGCTAGCGGGATTCGGTGGACGATTTACCAACCGATTGCCTATGCCAGTGAAAATTTCGGACGCCCTTAAGCGCTCTAGATTCGTCCGGACGTCGCCCAGCGTCTTAGTTAAAGGGTTATAACGTTTCTCACTATAATCATAAATATTTCTAAACTAGATCGCTAGACTCTTAGTAATAGGGAAACTATACGGGGGTTCTATACGTATCTCAATTGCTAGATTAAGCTATACTATCTTAGTACGGATAGGAGGGAGCTTAGAGCGGTACTAAATAAGGAACCTCCAATCCTTATAGCGCCTATTATCCTTAAATACCTTCCTCTTCTTATAGGTATTAAAAAAGTGGCCCAATATATTATATATTAAATAACCGGGAATATCTCTAAGGGGCAACGTATAACTACAGTCACAAAGTTTATAAATATTAGTATCCTTATACGTATAGAGCTTATAGTAAGGGTAGCTCAGGCTGGGCTGAGGTTGTGAAAGCGTAGAGTTTCCCTTGGGAAATAGTACGCTAAAGATATCGCCAGCCTTGACCTGGCGCTTCCGGGGAGCAATAATACCCGTGTTGATATACTGCTCGGCAAAGGGGTTATTGGCGATCGCAGCACCAACTGCCGCCACTTGCTGCAGCACCTGGGATGGGTGGCCGACAGCAAACAAAGAACCGTCGTTAAGCGGCACTGAGAAGTGCGAAGGATTGGCGTTATTGGCCAAAAAACTTTCCAACTGGTGCGTGCCAGTTAGATGGGTCATGGCAGGTGGTGCAGCCGCCCTGGTCAGAGCCTGCTGCTTGCCATCCCGCTTTGGCATCAGCGCCGACACCATACTGTCTGGCAGGCCAGTGCCAGCGAGCGCCTTGCGAGCTTTGCTAGGCTGGCTCTTTCCAACACCTTGAGGTCCCTTGGACGGGTGGTGCTGGCCAGCGTGCCCGTCTTTGTGGCCGCCATAGCCGCCATGACCACTGCGACCGCCGCGGCCGCCGTAGCCGCCACGAGCGTTGTCGTTGTTGTTGTTGTTGCTGTTGTTACGGCGCTGGTTGCGGCGCCTGCGGCTCTTGTTGTTGTTGTTGTTGTTGTTGTTGTTGTTGTTGTTGTTGTTGTTGTTGTTGTTGTTGTTGTTGTTGTTGTTGTTGTTGTTGTTGTTGTTGTTACGACCGCGTCCGCCACGATCATTATCATCACCACCACTACCTCCACAGAAGTTACCGGTATGGTAGCTCCCAGCGTTGAAACCGCCGTTACCGTCGTCTCCAGCAGCAGCAGCAGACATTGTCTTGGTTCGTTGGGAGTGTGGTCTTTTTTTTTCTTGTTGGGTGTGGTGTGGTGTGGTTGAGAGGAGGAAGAAGGAGAGGTAGAAGATGGGCTGGACGGGAAAAGGTATTTGAAAAAAAAAAATGTCAATCTGAGAACAGAGTGAGTGCTCGTCCGATCCGTCGTTTGATGTACCCAAGTACCTTGATCGGAGGCCGGACTCGCGCAGCCGAATCAGTCCAAGAAGGAAGGTACGGATGGTAGGTACCTGTAGGGTATGAAACAGAAAACTCTGAATTCAAGCTCCCACAATTCATGGAATTCTCCAGCTCGTAAATCCGCTTTTTTCTATATTGTTTACTTGCACAATTCCTTGAAATGTCTCCAAACACATCTGGAAAGAGAGACGCAGCGGACACGCCGTCCCGGTCAAAGGGGCGCAAGCGCTCCGCCAGTTTCGGGAGTCAGGATGAAGTAAGCTTTCCCAAGGCAGCCAGTCTTCAGGGGGCCGGCAGGTCGAAACGACGCCGCTTAAGCGATGAGGACCGGTCCGCTTCCACTTGGGGAACGCCGCCGAGTTACCAGCACCCTCTTTACGTGACACCTATGTCCTATGTCCCCAGTGGCCCTACTTGCACGAGCCATAATGTGCCGTCCACCAGTCCGCTTATTGATCTCAGTAACGCGGCCCGGATGTACCATCAAGGTATCCGGGAGGCTTCCAATGCCCTGGACATTGTGACCGCTGCCCCGAAGGAGTCTGTACAGCATGACGATCCCTTCTCGTCGCCTATACCACTAGAGGTAGACTGCCGCTCTCCGCAAAAGGCGTCGTCCAATTATGCGCCTTCATCCATGGTGTTGGACAAAAGACATGCCTCTAGCGATGCGGCGCTGGTCAAGTCTTCAGATGGCGAACGGCCCCCAAACCCGGGTCAGGGAGAGTCTTCAGATGGCGAACAGCCCCCAAACCCGGGTCAAGGCGAAAATGTGCAGCCACCGTCGCCGATTGTTCCGCATATTGAGGCTGACGTCCAGCCGCAAAGCAATGCGGCCAACAAAAGGCCCGTGTTCCCTGGCCATTCAGCACCTTTGCTGTCATTGAGCCAGATGTTTCAGCCGTCTAGCGACGAAGAACGCGAGTGACAGCGTTAATCTGCCATCCGTCAATGACTGTGACAAAGACCATGGTTTGGTTACGACTCAACTGCAGTTCGGATCTCACGCTTCGTGAATTCACATCTATGATAGTATTAATATACCGTGAATATCTTAACCTCCCCGTCAACCTGTGCCATGTGATTCATCCAATGTTATAGTTTGTCCGCCGGCGCCCCTGTGAAATGAAATGTGACTTTTCGAAGAATGTTGCAACTTTCTCCTTAAATTCTGAGTGCGTCGTTGTTAGTTTGTGGCGGCGTCATAATGTAAGGATTTGTCCTATTAAATGCGGGCACAAAATTTTGCGCCCGGTTGGATACAAGTAGAGGTACTTGCCGCTCGGTACCTAAAGTGTTTCGTGCCCGGTGTGCGCTCTACTAACGCCCACTTTGAAAACTACCTCTACTTGTACTAAGCCCTATACGTTTTGTATACGGCTGGTTGCCAAGCGCTAGGGCTACCGTCCGCTGCATACAACCAAGCTCGCGGCAATCCACTCGCAGCAAGTTAAAATGTGTAAGTGGTAGTGCAGGCCACACAATACCGAGCTTTAACGGACGTGTACTAACAAGCCGTCATTCGCGCAGCCTCGGCTATGTAGGGGCATACAATCGGGCACTACCTCGACACACCTGCATGTCCGACAATCTGGAACCTGTGGAGGGTTGTGCATGCGACTCATGTCGCCTTTGACCTTCCACCATCCTCACTAACACTGTCTCGTCCAGCGTTGCCAGTAAGTAGTACTGTAGAGTATCCCCGCGCAAATCATCATGGAACCAAGTTTAGGTACTGACTTGTCCTTCCCACCAAGCGCAAAGTCACCACGAATCGCGACCGGAACATCCATGCCAATAGCGTTCGATCGGCACCATCTGTTACAATTACATATGCCTCCGGCTCGGGTAGCAAGTGCGACGGCGATTCTGCGTTCAGAACACCGCTTGGTCAGGCTGAGCTTTTGCTCGCCGGTATGGCCCTGGATGATGTCACTCTCCAGCGAGTGATGAGTGTTTGCGAACAGCTGTCTGTCGTCCGGCCTTTCCCTGCTGTACTCGAAGCTGCTTGTCGTGGCTGCTCTGTGCAAAAATCACGATCTCTACATATATTACCTCGAGTATCACGCTGAGCAAGGTCTGGATGTCACACGGGAAGTGCTGAACGACTGTGTTTTTCCAAAACAGAACCATGGCAGAGCAAGGCGCAGAGCCCCGCAAGACCGCGACTCGGCGCCCGTACTCAAGAGATAGAGAGGTCCCGGCAACGTCGAAGAATTGGCACACAATGCCGTGCAAGCGCACAAAACAGGTAGCTGGATTCATGCCTTGTTCGGCCCTGACAGCGACGCTTTTCCACCGGCAAAGGGGGCCATGGTCCACCAGCCAGGCATGCTAACCAAAGAAAGCGATCCCGGCTGTCGCGTCAATATTAAGAAGTGATTTTTGTTCCCGCGTCTGTTCCCAGTTGCGATACGATGTGTTGGAAGCGGAGTTTAGCAACTGCTTCGTTGTAGATAATAATTTAATGTGTGCCCGGTTGTGTCGCAGCCGATTCTTAGTGTGTGCCCAGTCAGCGTGTAAGGAAGGGGTGTGCCCGGTCGTATTGTAGTAGATGGTAAGTGTGTGCCCGGTAAAAGTGCATCCCGTGTTGGCGGCGCTCATCGTTCCTTCCTCCATGATGATCCTTCCCAGCTACTGTCGCAAACTCGCACAAATGTCAATTTGAAAATTTGTGCGCTCGCTTGTTTCTCGAACCATACTTCTTCACCTTGAATTGCACAGTCGTCACGTCGCCACCATGAACTACGTTGCAAGGCTTCAACAAATCTGGTCGCTGGTTCCTCAGCAGCCGGAGGACAACGACACTTGGGACACTGTCCAAGTTGCATTGGGGACTCTCACAAGGGACATCGACAATGAAATTCGCCAGAACGATGAGTGGGAGCGACTCCTCGTTGAACAAGAGGAGGCCCTCGGCAATCAAGATCGAGAGCTTGCCGAAAAGGAGCAATCTCTTCAGGAGAGGGAGAAGACCCTTGGTGAGAGGGAGCAGACTCTCCTGGTCAAGGAGCAGGCTGTCCAAACAAGGGAGCATGACCTCGATCGAAGAGAACAGGCTGTCAAGGACAAGGAGCACCAATTGGAGCTCAATGCAAAGCTTGACTTGATCATTGGAAAGATGGAAAACAGTGCTACGAGAGAGCAGGTCCAATCTGTTTCGGACAGTGTGCAGAACATGGCCAGCCAGCAGCAGGTCACGGCTACCCAAGAGCAGGTCAAGGCCGTTTCCAAGGCCTTGGACACTGTCTTGAACGACGGTGCGACCAAAGAGCAGGTCACGGCTGTTTCCAAGGCCTTGGACACCTTCTCAAAAGACAATGCGACCAAAGAGCAGGTCACGGCTGTGTCCAACAGCCTGAACACCATGTCAACGCAAGTACAGGCAATTCCAGCCGTTTCTGAAAAGGTCGATGCAATCTCAGACCAAATGAAGCAAGTCGGGTTTGTTTCGGAAAGCCTACAGAACGTGGTGCAATTCATGGCAGGCGTCTCGCACATGTTGAATACTGTGTCGGACCAACTCAGTCAGATATGGAACGATAGCTCTACGCAGGAGCTTGTTCAGGGGGGCACGAGCAAGCTCTGGAAGAAATTGCTAGAGATTTCATCTGCTATGGAAAGCCAGAGCCGGACCCGTTCGGAGACACTTGACTCGATCTCAAGCCAGATCAGTCAGGTGAACAATGACAAGGCTACCAAAGAGCAGGTCGAGTCTGCTCTAGCCAAGCTTGACACTCTGTCGGAAAACGGCGCTACCCAGGAGCTCGTTCAGTCTGTCAGCACGACGGTCGGGTTGGTTTTGGCCAGGTTCAACAAAGTGGCATCCAAAGATAACTTGAAAACCCTTCACCGCGCCCTTGCTCTTCAACTCGCAGCAGTGGCAAATGACCACGACATCAGACTGTCTGACATTGAGTCTGATCTGCAGAATGTGTGGAGCTGGGTAGAAAACCTCTGTGATGGCGACACCAATTCCCTAGCTGTTGTCCTGAAAGAAGTAAGGACAGACAAGGACTGGGAAAATACCAGTTACGGTGCCCTTGCCAGTTTGGAAACACAGATACAGAAGGTTGAGTGGCTAGAGCAACAGCTGAAGGACCTCAATAGCACAAATCTTGACATGAAAAAGCAGATCCAAGACCAACGTGCCAGACTGGACAAGCTCAACGAGGAAGTCAGTCGTTCGCAGGAATTGCTGGCCACCAGACGTTCCTGCTCAAGACGGTCTGGCCCCCCCAAGAACAACCGTCTATGGGTACAGCGTGTGGATGACTTGTTGGACAAGCTCGACAGGTTCATGATTGCGGACATACAAGAGGGTCCCCTGGAGACCATCTTCAATCAGTTCTGTTTGATCATGTCTGATCCAGATGATCGTGCCTTGGGCAATTTGGACCTTTTCAACGTCGGGGCACCAGTAGATCGCTGGTATTGTTTCAAGCGCGTTATCCACTCCTGGCCTACTACTGATGCCATCTCATACGATGGACAATGTGACATGCATGATCAATGTTTGCAAGTCAAACGCGTTTGGCAAGGCCTTCGCCACGCTTTGGTGTTTCGCTAGGTAGTTACAAATAATACCTGCCATATGAATGATGAATCTTAAATCCCCCTTCTGTTCCACTGTGATGCTGTGTCTGAATGTTGAATTTTGTACCATTGACCCGGACTTCCCTACCAACAGCGGCCCGAAACACACCTGTACCCAATTCTCGGAACGGCCTTCCAAGATAGGTAGGTAGGTAATTATTCATCATACAAACTGGCACGTCTGCACGGACCTCCAAATGAACAGAATTAGCCCTTCCTGCCAAACAACCAAACAAAATCTTACCCCACTACCTCGACACAACAACCACAACAACAACCACGACCACAAGATGAACGACAGCGTCAAAATGAACGCGCCTAGCATGCCGCTGGACGCTCAAAAGCGTCGTAGCCATATCATGACCGAAATCAAAAAGGCTTTTCGTCTTGAGGAGTCCTTCATCCATCGCATGATGGCGGACATCTTTGCTGCCAAGGCCCATGAGAACTTGTGGCGACAGAAGTTCGCGTCGGTCTGTCCCAATGTCCGAAACTGGTTGATTGACTTTTATGTCGTCAAGTGGTTCTGTAAGTTCATGTTGCTCGATGCCACTCACGAGTCATTCACTAACCCGTCACGTATCGCTCAGTTCCTGAAGAGATAAGCAGCCTGTATAAAATAAATTACCCGCTGCCTGCTCCTTCTGCGGAGACTTCGCCGGAATATGCGGCGTTCCGCGAGGCAAAGATCCAAGAGCGCGATGGCACCTTTGTTGTGCCTGATACGGCCATGTGGCACCAGCTGAGACCACAGGTCAGCGAGGGTCACCCAGGCGTGTATGGACGCTTCCAGATCGTCCTCCCCAGAGAGCTCTCTCCAGCCAACAAGATTTGGCATGAGCTCGAGAGTAAGGGTCAACAGGACAAGTGCAGCACCATTGGGCTTGTCCGTGTCCGCATTAGTCTGGACGGGGCCCAAAATTCTGTTGTTTACCAACTCGGGTACACCACAGTCACGCCTCTGGCTAACCCTTATGTCATGCCCGCTCTGGGTCAAACCTGGCTCAATTTTGTCGGATGGGCTTGCGAGGTTCTCTTGATGTCGCACAACCCACAGTTGCAGCCCAGCTACCCTGTCTGGCTCGAGAAGCATGTGGTCGATGGCTGCCCTCCTCACAACGAGGAGAGGCTGGTGGAGACGGCGAACTACGCACGCATGGTTGCCACATTCAAGACCGCGCTTCCTCAGGCTGAGCGTTTGCTCGCTGGCGCGGCCCTGGATGATATTACTCTCGAGCAGGCCGTGACTGAGTGCGAAAAGTTGTGCTCCAGCCTTCATGTTGGACTGCCATCTTGGAACATGCATGCTACCTCTAAACTACTTGTTTGGGCTGCTTTGCACAACACACACGCTGTCGACCCATATGTGGCTGAGCATTACCCTCGACAGGGTCTGGGCGTGACAGTCGAGCTCCTCAGAGCCTTGCTCCCTAAGTTCTGTCAGTGGAAGGGGCGTCAGTATGTTGAGCATTGGATTAAGGAGAATCCCTTGTCTCTGCCGCGTACGAGGCTTGAAGAATCGGTTGAGAGGGTCTTGAAAGACATGAACATTTGAGTCAAATCCAACCAGAGCTTCACATGGTGGTAGCTGCCCTGGCATGTTTCATTTTCCGTAGAGGTAGTCTAAATCAACTGTTTACAGTGACCAAGTACTCTGTTGCGTGAACATCTATGCTGTGTGTCCCGAGCTTTGTAGTTTGTACCCTGCCCGCTCCAACCCTGCACGTGCCTGCCCTAGCCTTGCCTTCCCGCCCTGCCAACTCCCCGCCCAAAACAAAATCCATGTAGGAAGAACTCATTGACAAAATCTCCCACTTTACAACCCGCGCAATACCATCATACCACACATAACCTCAATCATCAACCACCGCGACAATGGCTTCCCCGCAAGATATGCTCACTAGATTCCTGGGCAGAAGCGTACCTGGCACACACATTGCTCATTTGCAAGGCCCCCATGGCTGCGGGAAAAGTACCCAATGGCTCTGTCGCATTTGGGATCAGATCGCACGCGAGCCCACTGCCAGGCTTGTCTATATCCAGCCGACTGCGACACAAGCTAAGCTGTTGACAGCATACTTGAGCACCCAGTCAATCAAGGACGGCTTGGACAGTGGCAGGGTGATGCTTTTCTCCATCAAAGAAATGGTCAAGCTTTCGCGAGAACCACAACAGCCACTCCACACTCGACTTGGCCCGCGTACCACTGTCTGTATCGATCTGGAGGTCACCCCCTCTGCTCGCGGCGAGTATCTTGTCGCTTTTTTCCATGATATGGCAGAGGCTGCCGGCGAGTCTCTGACCGTCATTACCATGGGTGCTGCCAACCATCGTTACCCCCGCTGCGCCCGGCCTGTCATCATTCAAGTCGACCCTCCCCACGAGCTTTTGCCCATGGCACCGCTAAGATCAGGTGTCCATGCGTCCAGTGTCATCTGGGATACATTGTACGAGGGGGGCAAAGCTCAAGACAGAAACGTCCTTCTGTTTACGGACCTCCACACCGCTATGGACTTGAGAAACAGTTCTAGCTGGGAAAATTACGAAACGCGCTCGAAGGGCTTGCCAAAATGTCACTTCGTTACTCTGTCACGACGACAGCTTGACCAAAACCCCACCCTTGTCGCCTCTCTGGCAACGCTCAAGGGGCCTACGCTGATTCAGGTTGAGCATGACGTTGAAGTACGGTTCCCGATCCGTAATGTCGCCATGGCCGTCTACCAGACAACCAAGGAGATGACTGTCCTTGACAACAGATCAGGATTGCTGGTCAAGAACCCCGCCGTCCTGATCAGCAAGCAGGAGCTTTTAGCAAAGCAAGGTCTGGCTACCTACTCCTGTGGCCCAGCCCAAGTTGCTCATTACATTGCACCTGACGGCCCGATCTGTATGGATTCGATTCTGGATCAGCCACGGCCGCACGCTCATAGCAGCGAGTTGCTGGCTTTTTGCCTGCTGGCTCTGAGCATTCCCACATACGATCCTCTGGCCTACAACGTCTGTCCACTGCTGTGGTATGAGGCCCTTCGTGTTGTCAAGCTGATGGGACTCGTCAACCAAACGACCTCTACGCTCACTCCAGTCGGCCTGCTGACTCTGGAATTTGCCCACCAAATGAGCATGTCCAATATTTACCCTGCCGCGTTCATAGCACACATGCACTACATTCCCGCGTCACCGGCTACCAAGCGGGTGGCTTGCATGATGGCAGCCATTCTGCATGCTGGCCAGGATTCGATTTGGCACCCTCCCGAAGAATCGTTCAGTGCCCATCAGTTTGTCAGAGCCATGGTCGCTCAGAGCAGCCCTTCCTTTACTCTTGACAGGCTGTGGAGCGGGAGCCTGTGGGTAGCCGTCGCGCTTCTGGAAGAAGTTATTCACACGTCAAAGGTGTTTACAACACCCAGGAACAGCGAGCATGACCGCTGGCCACTGAAAAGTGGCTGCAGCTTTAACGACGCTGCTATGATCTATCGGCTGTCAACTTGGCTGGCACAAAGTATCAAGAGCCCTGGTCCGCTCGACAGGGTAGATCCGGATGATCAGCCTGAAGTTTTGCCGATTCAGAGGACATTGCTGTCGGCATATGCACAAAATGTTGTGTTTATCCCCTCTGTCGATCTCTCTAGATCCTATGTTCGAAGAGATATTGTCTCCTTTTCGTCGTGCCAGCCTCTGGGTATGAATGTGTTAGACCTGACGTCTCTCCGGCCCTACGCCGTCAATCATGGTAGTGGATTTCTTGGCCTCTTTACCAAGGTTGATCTTGATGATGAGGCCAATTACGCCATCCAAGGCACCATGCCCCTCAAATGCGAGGTCTTTGACGTCTTCCAGGGTAGAATTCCCGGCTTTCAAGCTGGGGCGGAGCTCAAACTTGAGGACTTGAACAAGTTGATTGCAGGACTAATGACGGTGTGGGGACGCGAGGTCATGGTGGACTAGTATTGAGATTGAATGTAGTTTAACTAAGAAGAGCCATTGACTCCTGAACTTTACCCGTTGTCTCTAGTGCTTTGACATCATACATTATCACATAGGTAGGTACACCACGTCTACAGATGGTCTCGAAAATCGGAATATCAGGTACTTTTGTTATGGTATTTAATTAGGTGCCTTACTCTAGCCACACTCCATGCAACAACCTAGCCACTGTGTTGTAGCCGGGCATTTCTTGCATTTGGGACATGGAGCTTTGCTCCGGTGCCTTCTTGCACAAACCCTCAACAGTTGACAGAAAAAGGGTATCGTCGGCTTCGTCTTCGAAGGGCCCTAGATCCATATCATCTCCATCCATGCCATGGCTGTCATTGTCCAGTTCCATGTCAATATCCCCGTGCTGTTGAGCCGTGAAGTGAGCCTGGAGGTCCTCGGCGAGATCAGTACACTTCTGCTCGAATTGTGCCTTTTCGGCCAACTGTCTCTTGAGTTCAGTGACTTGGTCATCCATCTCTTGGTGACTGGCCTGGATCGTCTTCACTGACTCTTGAGATTGCAGAAGCTCTTCTGCCTTTTCGGCCAACAGTTTCTCCAGTTCAGCGACTCGGGCATTGACCTGTTGGTCACTTTCCTGCCCCTGGACCGAGGCCGATTGCTCAAGGAGCTTCTGTTCGGCAGCCGAAGCGCGTGCCTCTGCATCAGTACACTTCTGCTCGACTTGTGCCTTTTCGGCCAACTGTCTCTCGAGTTCAACAACTCGGGCATCGACCTGTTGGCCGCTTGCCTGGACCAAGGCTGCGTTCGATTGCTCGAGTTCAATAACCCGTTGCTCGGCCGCGGTAGCCTATTGCTTGAGTAAGGCCGTATTATTCGACCCTATTAGTTGTGGGTTAATTAGACGTACTTGCGTTAACTCCTTTTAGAGCTTGGCGATATTAGTAGTTGTTTATTCTAATTACCTTGCTATATTTTCAGCCGGTGGCGCTTGTGCCGGTAATACCTGGGCGGTTTGCGCAGGCCGTCTCTACTTAAATTCGGCCGCCTAAATTTATTTCTTATATATTTATAGTAAAATTGCTTTAAAACGGTTATTTAGCAGGAAAAGATACTTATAATTTACTAACGTAATTTATATTAACTTTAAATCGGGAGGCAAGTAATTTAGTATACCGTACGTAACTACCCAATTAAGAGCTTTCTTAATATTAAATAGGTTTAAAATTATAATAATATAAACTGCGAATAATTAGCCGTCTTCTATAATAGGTTGTAGTAGCTATCTAGGAATAGAAATATATTTAATCTCCTATAGAAAGTAATATATAGGAAGGAGGATTTCCAATTATTAATAAATATTTTAATAAATATCCTTAATTTTAATCTACCTATAATTATTTATAAAAGCGGACGCCAACTAATTAATATAATAATTAATTATCGAGTTTTATATAGGCTACTAACGCCGGTCGTTAGTATAATATTTAACAGCGTACTAAATAATTAATATAAGGAGGCTAAGCAACTTATTAAAAATTAAATAAATAATTAAGAATTCAAGGTAGTTATAGAATTATAGAGGTTAATTCAAATAAATTACAAAGTAATTTCCTATAGTAATAAATAAGTATTTGCTACTATATTCTAATAACCTCTCTAGGCAAATAATAGAAATAGATATATAGCCTATAAATTTTAGTATTAACTTTTATAATAATTATATATAAGTATTTATTCTATACGTATTAATAATTTATTCTAATTATATATAATTTTTATTAAACCGGGTAATATTTTGTACTATCTATAAAAGATTATTAACTAATTTAATTAATATATTATACTTTTATTCAATAATATTTAATACTACTTTACAGAGCTTTATTATAGTTTTTCTATAGAATTCTTCGATACCCTCTACCTAATCCTTTAATTAAAATTATAATTTCTATAGTAGGTTGCCGAAGAGGAATTCAAGGGTGTTTTCCGTAGCTAGCGTATTAGGCGAGCCGGGTGCAGCTTGGGCGTTGGATAAGGTAGTATTACTACTACGTCTACGGCCGTATCTATTTCATTTACCTCTTCCGCCTCGTCCGGCGTGTGTAGATATAGTTTCTAGTATTGCGCGAGACTGTATAAGTTGAGTCGATATTGTTAGTTGTATTAACTTTATAGAGGGTAAAAGATAGGTAATAGAGTAATAGCTAGATAGGAAAATATACGGGTTGTGGATACGGTTAGGCTGTATATTGCAGTAGAACTGCTAATATATTAAGGTAGTAATAATATATCTATTTACTATAAGAGGTTATAAACATTAGCTCTTAATAATATTAGTCTTTATATACGTTTAGTAGGTTAGGGTTAATAAAATCATTTATATAAAAGTTACTAAACTAGATATCTAAGGACGATATATTTCCTCTTTATTAAATTGTAGGGATATAATACTATTACCCTATATAAAGATACTAGTAAGTATGGCCGCGCGTTTAGACTCGACCCTAGGTACTTTAATAATTGGTAAGAGTTTAATATTATTCCGAATGTAAAGAAGTATATAATTATATAATTTACCCTTCTCGCTAATATATTAATTGTTAGAATAATAATTACATTTCTTATTTTTAGTAAAGCGCTTCCTATAAAAAGGGCGTTCGTTAATATAACCCTATATATTAAATAGTCTAATTTTACTAAAGGATTTACTATTTTAATTGTTATAATAAATAGCGGCGGCGATAAAATTATATTTTAGAACCGTCTCTATTAGCTCGAAGCTCCTATTAGGCTACTAGATTAGATTTATACCCTTAATATAAAAAGTACGAATATTATAGAAGTCTTTAATTCTTAACCATTTAAAAATATATTTAATTTAGATAATAGCGGTATTTTATAGGCCTTATAATATATAAGAATATTTAGAATTAGTACTACGAATTATATAGTTGTAATTAATATACTCTTTGAAATTATCGCTCCCGTCCTATTCGACTAAACTAATATAATGCTAAATAAAGTAAATTTACTAATTTAATTATTATAATTAAAAACCTATTATATTTAATTTACTATTGGCCTATTATAGGCTTTCTATTATATTTACTCTCTAATAAATTAACCCTTGTAAGTTTAAAGCCCGAAGTAGTAGAAACCCGGGTGGTTTTAGAAAGTACTTACTATAATTAAGTTCTCTATTAGTTTGGCTAAATTAGTATTAGGGCTAAACCTAAGTTTATCCCCTACAGTTATTACTAATTTATTATAAGTAGAGGGGCTAAGGGGGTTAATAACGTCTGTAGATAGTATATATACAACGAGCGGGTTACTATTGTAGTATAGCAGTATATTATTAAGATAACTATTTGTAACGTGGATAATAATAATTATAATATCTAACGTATTAATTATATATATATCTTTAGGCGCAAAGGGAATAATTAGCTAAAGAAACTCGCGTCGGAGTTTATCCGTATAGGTTAATAATTGTAATATAGCAAATTCTTGGGTTGAGCGCTGTAGTTAGAAAATTCCCGTTATTGTTGTTGGGTGATGGATTGTTAAAGGAGAAAGCTGCGGCGGGAGTCAATGTCAGTGCAGGCATTTCCGCAATTGTAGGTACGAAAGTACCTGCAGGGATGCCAGGTGGAATTACAAGGCTACGCTACTCACTGCCAAGCCGGGTGTTCGTCCAGGGCGGGTTCCATCCTGGACTGTGTGATCAAACACGGCAACTGTGTAGACGTCGCACTCAGAAGCTGAGTGCAGGTCGACAAAAGGCCTGTTCTGGGTCAGGGCTATTGTTATTGAAATGGTCCCGGCCGGATGCGCTGACTTGATCCAAGTTTCTAACCACCATTTGCGTAATTCCATCGCCCTTGAAGTGTTGCCTACACAGTATGCCCGGTCGTTAGCGGGCCGTTGCTCATTTGTAGTGTACCTACTATGTATATGCAAGCCACGTACAGGGGCCGGGCAAAATGTAATATGTCAGGTACAAGAGGCCGAGCGCAAAACGTTATTTCAACTTCGTTGATAGAATTCTTGGCAAGCACAAACATCTGTGCCCGCTAAATCATCTGCAAACTCTACATTTGTGCCCCCTACTATAATCCCGTGAATTGGACCGGTCTCAGCGGGCACACATGTTTGTGCCCGCCAAATTATATACAAATTCTACATTTGCGCCTGTAGAAAGCATCCCGTCAACTTGCAATCACAACGTACAACGTCAACACTTATCTTTACTTTAGAATACAACAAAGTCACATTGAAAGGGCACACAATGCACATGCATCACAAAGACGTTTCCACCATTTTCAACTATCGTATCTACTTGGACGCAATCCACCAGGGTCCGCCGCGGTCAATCTCAAAAGTATACGTCGTGTCCTCATCGTTTCCAGTGAACTGGATTGATGACCTCTCTACGAGGACAAACTTCCACCGTTTGCCCACCACGACACGAATTTGAAGGTTTTGGGCGGCAAAGTTAAGCAGGATATACCACCGCTCATTTGTACCCATGTCTCTGTCCAGGAGAACGCCAACCTGAGAGACATTGTAGTACATGCCCGACTCTTCTTGTTCACACAGGGCCTGTACATCAGACGGGCCTGACGTGATTGCAGTGACGAGTTTGGTCAACTGCCCACCAATAACCTCGACAAGGGACACCATGGCTACCGCCAGACTTCTCTGGGTCATGGCGTTGGCGTACGTCAGGATCTGCCAGACCGACAACAATAGAGGGTCATTCTGGTGGAGGATGTGCTCCTTGACCATGCGGACGACCATGTTGGTGATCTCCACGAGCAGCCCTCGGTAGATCTTTTGCGGCTCGGCAAGCATGTCTGCAAGCAGATTGGAGGCATGAAGAAGAGCCAGATTCATCCAATCCATGCCATCCGGACGAGACACCAGAACTGCGTAGAGAGACAGACACGAATGCAATGTGCCGGCCGAATTCTGCGAGTAGGTCGATCGTCCGTTTCCCCACGTGTCTTGAATACGCCAGAACTCGGTGACCCTATCGGACTTGTTGACGTCTCCTTCGATCGGCGAGATGGCTAGGTGCAACGCTTTAACCCAAGAATCTATGGTAAGCCTACATCCCGTGTAGTCGTTGAGGAACGCTACACAATGCTCTGCATTGGCATGGAGCTCGCTATACGACGCTGTCAACTTCTGAACTTGATCTTGCAAGCATCTCACACTGAGGTCAGGGTTCTGCTCCTCCTCTGTTACAGCTTGGCTGCCTTCGTCCACGATGACCAGGGCACTTTTCAGCCCCGAAACCTGACCGATGAGGTCCTTGACCTTGTCCCCCAGTTTCTGACTAGCAGCCCAGGCATCTTGGGCTAGTTTGATGTTGGCTTGGGAAGTAGCCAGGGCCCCGTTGAGCCCTTTTTCGACATCGGAGAAACGCCCTTTGGAGGCGGGAATCTCCTTGGTCTTTTGGCCAAACTGGTTCGTCAATCCTTCAACCGTTTTGACGCTGGCAGTCTGGGCATCTTGGAGCCTCTCGAGTTCAGCGACGCGCCTTTCTGAGGTAGACAGCTTCTGGGTTTGGTCCGTAAGCTGCGCCTTCAACTGCTCAACTGTTTTGAGTTCGTTCTCAAGTTCGGAGATACGCGCTTGTAAAACAGACAGCTCCTTGGTCTTTCCCTCAAGCTGCTGCTCGAGCTGGGAGACGTCAACCGGCATACTGACTCCATGTGTTATTGATCGCAGTGAGGTGATGGCTGGTAGTAGTTAGTGCGCCAAACGAGTTTTTGACGCGACGGGGCAACACGGGCAGATTGGTTGTATAGACCTTTTTGAGCACAAACGCGCACCTCTTGGACTTGGGGGCGCAAGAAGTGTGCCGACAGTGCTGAACTATAGAGAGGAAACAGGAAAAGAAGGAGGGAGGATGGCCAAAAATTCAGGAAAGTTGTGGGGCCCACACGCGATGGGGGAGTGAATACACCGTACAACGGTAAACGGAGATGGGCGTACTGTAGAGGTACCTACCTCAAGGTACCTCGAGGTATCAATGGTCCGTCACGTCATCTGATTGGGAGGGAGGCTGCCGCATACACGAATTCAAGGCAAGTACCTATCTGCCATTGTACTAGAGATGTAGAGGTACATAGAGTTACATGCAGGTCCCGTCGTGGCTGCTGCCGCTCGCCCTAGGAACGTACCTCTACCATAGGGCATCTAGAAACGTGTGAATGATAGTTCAGGTCACTCTTTACCGCCCTACAACAGGCTCGCACTAACATGTCTTCATTCGACCCACCTGTAGGTAGGTAGGTCCAGGTAGGTATGTATTTGTTTCCCGTCTTTCAACGGGCGTTCATCAGCGGGAGCAAATGGATGAGACGGCGGCTAATCACAGGTATTGCTGGGGAGACTCCCGTCAACGTGTCACAGAACTTCGATTGCCAGAATGTGTAAGTGATAGTACAGCCCGCTATACGGAGGCTTACAGCGAGCAGATACTAACAAAGAGCCATTGGACCCACTGTCAACTCGGCAAACGAGCCTTCACCTCCCGCACTCCTCACCTTGGACGGAGCTTTCCACTTTTTTTCTCGCGCGCACAACAACCCTTCCACGACATTGAGCAACTTGACTACCTCTAGACTTTTTTCGACAGCAATAGTTGTAACAGCGTCGCGCGACGCTACAGTAGTACATCGGACCCTTTTTACGCTCGATTTTTCTCTCGAACTAACATTTTTTCCAAAACAGAACCATGGCAGACTCCGCAAAGCAAGGCGAAAGCAGAACCCCGCAAGACCGCCACTCGGCACCCGCACTCAAAAGAAAGAGAGGTCTCGGCCACGACGCCGTCTACGAAAACCAGGAGCAGGGGCGAATCGAGCGGCTGCCATTCGAAGGGGGCTTGCTCAGCCAACAAGCCCACAGTCAAGTTTGCTTCAAGAACAATGGTCCAAACCACAAGGATCGCCTTGAGCTCATGGGCCGCGGCAACTCTGCGGTTAACTGGATTGCTCCAGACAGCCAGATCAAGAAACCTGGGCATCAGCTTATGGCAAAGATTGCTCTAGATGATGACAGCTTTGAGGCTTTCAAAAAGTCCATTCAAAGAGAGGCTCGCGGCGCCGGCGGAGTCTTGGCCAATATTTGGGTTCAGATCCACGAGCCGCCGACCAACGAGGAAGAGACGCACAATGCCGGTAACGAACAGTCAAATGCGGCCGATCTTGCCAACGAAGTGTCATCTGCGCCCGTTGTCACGCAGGAAATGCCGGTCCAAGGCGGTTCTCGCTCGTTGAGTAGTGGCCCATCTGGTCCGTTCCAATTCGGCCTTCCTTCGTCGTTCATTGACACTCGATCCCCGGTGCCGCAGCAAATGGCAGCAGTCAGTGCTGCGGTCGCGATTGACCCCTTTGCCGAGTAGTACGTTAATACGGGTGTTCTTCCTCCTAGGAAGCCCAAGGCTAAGGCGGGCACTAGTGCGTTTATTTTAGGCTTGCTAAAGCGCAAAGCTGCAAAACCACAGCCCAACCCTATGAGCTGCCCTCACTGCAAGCTCTATACATATAAGGATGCCAATATTTACGAATTTTGTAATTATAATTATACGTTATTTAATAGAGCTATTCCCAATTACCCTATATATAATATACTAAGTTACTTCAATAATACTTAAAAGAAGAGAAAGGTATTTAGGGAAGATAGGCATTATAAGGATTAGAGGTATCTTATCCAATACTACTCTAAATTCCCTCTTATTTATATTATAATAGTATAACCTAATTTAGTAATTAAGATACGTAGAGAACCCCTATATAATTTCCCTATTACTAAAAGTCTAGCAATCGAAATTAGAAATATTTATAATTATAGTAATAAATATTATAACCCTCTAACTAGAATACTAAATAATATTCGGACGAATCTAGAGCGTTTAAAGGCTTCTAAAGTTCTTAGTAGTATAGGTAACTAATTGGTTAATTATATATTAAATAGCTCTAGCGCTTCTAATAGTAATACTATAGACCTAAATAATACTCTAGCCCCTCCTAATTTTCCAATTGCCTTGATCGAGTCTATTTAAACTGTCTAGACTAGCTCTATTACCCCGGCTGCCCCGGCTAGACCTATTGTCCCGGCTAGCGCTATTGTTCCGGCTGGTTATATTACTCCCGTTTAGTTATAGGTAGACACTCAGATGAATAACATAACAGATTATATAGAGAAGATAATTGTGCATTTGTAGATGGACTCGGAGAATTGGGAAATCGATTAGGTAGTTGAATTCCTATTATTATGCGATTCTTTTAATATTTTATAATAATGTTTTAAGTAATTCAACGCCTGTAATGCTAGCTTTGCTTTATATTCTAATAGCCATAATCTTTATAATATTAACTTTATTCTATATTGCTATTTATAATACGTTCCGAAGCTATTGCTTTAGATAATTCTCTCTTAAAAGCAGGTACAAACATCTATACTTAACTAAATAAAAGAATATAAGATACGAACTTACCTATAGAGGAAGCGGCTAGGTTGTAGAATACTGGTATCTATATAGGTACCTACAAGTGCTAATTGAACAAATACAGGCCTGTACTAATATTGACTCCCCTCGCAACTTTTTCCTTTAGCAATCTATTGTCTAATAATAATAGGAATTTTCTAATTACAACGCTCAACCCAAGAATTTACTATATTATAGTTACTAATTTATGCGGATAAGTTCTAATGTAAGTTCCTCTAGCTAATTACTACCTCTAAGCGTAAAAATGCGTATTTAACAAATACGTTGGATATTATAACTATTATTATCTATATTATAAATAGTTATTTTAATAATACGCTGTTATATAATAGTAAGAATCCGTTCGTTATATTTATACTATTTATAAATACTATTAACCCCCTTAGCCCTATTACTTATAATAAATTAGTAATAGTTACGGTAGATAAATTTAAATTTAGCCCTAATACTAGTTTAGCTAAATTAATAGAGAGTTTAATTATAATTAGTACTTTTTAGAACTGCTTAGATTCCCGCTACTTTAAGTCCTAAACTTACGAGGGTTAATTCGTTAGAGGGTAAATATAATAGAAAATATATAATAGGCTAGTAGTAAATTAAATATAATAGGTCCTATACTATAAGAGTTAATTAATAAACCTATTTTATTTAATATTATACTAATTTAGTCGAGTAGGATAAGAGTAATAATTTTAGAGAGTATATTAATTATAACTATATAATTTATAGTATTAACCTCGAACATCCTTGCGTATTGTAAGACCTATAAAACGCTACTATTGTCCAAGTTCAATATATTCTTAAGCGGCCGGGAATTAAAGGCTTTAATAATATTCGTACTTTTTATATTAAGGGTATAGATTTAGTCTAGTAATTTAATAGGAGTTTCGAATTATTAAAGATAGTTATAAAATATAATTTTATTACCGCTGCTATCTATTATAATAACTATAATAGTAAATCTTTTAGTAAAATTAGATTAATTAATATATAAGGTTGTATTAATAAATGCCCTCTTTATAGAATATATTATACTATAGGTAATTATAATTATTACTTTAATAACTAGTATATTAGCAAGAAGGGTAATTCGTATAGTTATATACTTCTCTACTTTTAGATTAATATTAAACTCTTACTAATTATCAAAGTACCTATAGTCGAGTTCAATTGTGCTATTATATTTTCGAGCATCTTTGTACATAGTATTGTACCCTTATACTTTGACAAAGAGGAGATACGCCGTCCTTAGATAGTCTAGTAACTCTTATATAAACAATTTTATTAAATATTCTACTAGGCGTGTATATGTAGATAAAAAGTATAATTATTAAGACTAAACGCCCGGCCGCGTGGACCAAAGGTAATTTCAAGAGAAGATTTTAGTAATCCTTATAGTAAATGAAAATATTATTACTACCTCGACGTATTAGTAGTTCTGCCGCAATATATAGCCTAGTTATACCCGTAAACCTTGTATTTTCCTATCCCGCTATTACTCTATTACCCGTCTTTCTCCTACAAAGTTAATTCAACTAATAATATTAATTTAACCTATATAGTCTCAAAATTATAAACCCTCCAAAGTTAATCCTACGCAATACTAGAAATTATATCTATACGCGCCAGATAAAGTGGAAGAGGTGGACGAGGCGGATGCGGCCGTAGACGTAATAGTAACGCTACCTTATCCGACGCCCAAGCTGCTCTAGTTCCCGCACTAGGCTTATTCGACGTCTAAGCTGCTCTAGTTCCTACATCGGGCTCGCTAGACGCGCCAACTGCCTTTAAATTGCTATTCGGCAGCCTACTATAAGACTTAAAACCCCGAGTTAAAAATTAGGTAGAAGGTATTAGACAAGCCCATAGAGAGACTATAATAAGGCTCCGCGAAATAGTATTAAACCCTACCGAATAGAAATATAATATATTAATTAAATTGGTTGACGACCCTCTATAGACGGTGTAAGATATTGCCTAGCTTAATAAAAATTATATATAATTAGGATAAATTATTAGTACTCGCGAAAGGAATATTTATATATAGTTACTATAGAAAGTAATATTAAAATTTATAGATTATATACCTATTTTCTATTATATACTTAGAGAAGCTATTAAAATATAATAATAAATACTTACTTATTATAGTAGGAAATTACCTTATAATTTACCCAAATTAGCCTTTAAAATTCTATAACTATTTAAAATTCTTAATTGTTTATTCAATCTTTAATAAATTGTTTAGCCTCTTTATACTAATTATTTAGTATACTATTAAGTATTATATTAACGACCAGCGTTAGTAGCTTATATAAAATCTTATAAATAATCGTTATATTAGTTTATTAGTAATTATATTTAAAAATAGTTATAGGTAGACTAAAACCGAAGATATTTATTAAAATATTTATTAATAAATAGGGGTCCTCCCTCCTCTTTACCGCCTTCTATAGGAAATTAAGCGTATCTCTATTTATAGGCAATTGTTAGAACTTTATATAAATAATAATAAACTATTCGTAATTTATATAATTATAAATACAAACCTACTCAATATTAAAAAAACTATTAATTGGATAGCTATATATAGTATACTAAATTGCCTACCTATTAATTTGAAGTTTATATAAATTATATTAATAAATTATAAGTATCCCTATCCGTTAGTTAATTATATTAAGGAAATTTTATTAAAGGCGTATAAGAGGTAAATTTAGGAGGTTAAATTGGGGCGGAGACGGCCTACTTAGGCTGTATAGTAGTTAATACAAGCTGCCTATATGTAACTAGTAGAGGTAATACCAACTAAAGAAATAGGAAGGTAGTTAGAATAAGTAACTACTACTATTACTAAGCTCTAAAAGGAATTAAGGTAAGTACATCTAATTAACTAATAATTAATGGGGTTAGATAATACGGCCTTATTCGAGCAACGGGCTACCGCGGCCGAACAACGGGTTACTGAACTCGAGCAATCGAACGCAGCCTTGGTCCAGGCACGTGGCCAACAGGTGGCCGAAATGGCACAACTCGCGCAGAAGTGCGCTGACGCAGAGACACGCGCTCTGGCTGCCGAAAAAAAGCTCCGCGAACTCAAGCAATCGAACGCGGCCCTGGTCCAGGAGATCCAGGCGGATGACCACCAGTTGAATCCCCGAGTCGCCGAACTCGAGAGACAGCTGGCCGAGAACCAGGCGGCTTTCACTTCGCTTAGTCAGCACCTCGCACAGGTCGAACAGAGGGCTCAAGTCAGGGAGCAAGAGTTGAGCGCCCAGGCTTCGGCAGCTGAAGACAGGTTGGCCGAAGCTCGAATAAACGAGGAGGCCCTGAGAATTCAAGTTGCTCATGCTGAGGAGCGAGCTTCAGCGGCCGGATCTGCGCATGAAGGACATGCAGGATCATCTTCGGAATTTGACATGGCCCGAATGGCCTTGATGATAGGCTTGGAATTTCTGAAACAGCGGGCACCAAACAGCTCTCTGGAAGAGCATGCCTATCGATCTGTCGATACGGTAATGCAGCAGCGGTCAGAGCGCCTTCGGGTCGAACAAGAGCAGAGACTGGAACAAGAAGGATATGAGATGGAGGCGCAAGAACAACTCCAACGGGAGGCGAGGGAGCAACAGGAGAGATGATGGGTTTCTCTTGTACAGCGGTCGTCTCTGTCTGTTGGTTCGTACATACTCGCGATACTAATTGAGCAATTAAGAGAAGTAAACATTCGGTTGGGTGAAACAAGTTTGCAAAAGCACCGCAGCGCCCTGGCCTGCCCCTGTAGATGAAACGGCGGAACTGCCCTGTAGCACCCATCGCTTAGTGGACATCCAGACAGTTCATCTCTGCTACCCTGCTATCTTGGCCACCGGCAAATTTAGTGGTTCACAGATAGCGTGCCATCTAAGTCGAGCATTTGCAATAGATCCCTCTTTCCTCATTGGTTTCTTGTCCGCACGCACGCAAAACATCGACAATGGTTCTGAAAGCAGCAATCTGGGCATTACAGTCGAGACCTCATGTCCACTCTCGTATGCGTTTTTATAGCCAACTAATGCGTGATATTGCCTTGGATACGCTATTTCTGATGTCCAAAATGCCATATCAAATCTTGTGAATGCCTTTTGTCATCCTTGTTCAGCCATTATCGACCAGTATCGGACTGTGCTAAAGTCCTGCAGCCTGTGAAAGATATTCTTGCCGAGGCTTCACTCCTTCGGGAGTTCTTCCAATACGTTGGTGGTCTCGACAGAGGAACATACAACAGCGGGAGAGATAAAAATAGCGGACTAGCATTATAATTACTAGTCTACGCACAGAACAGTAACCGAAACTAAATCCAGTGCAAGGCCATCGGCCCCCAATTGCCTGGGAGCACAATAGAAACCCATCAACATGGTTGGGCATCCAACAATAAGCAGTACATCAGCAGAAGCAAAACGTCTCCCATGTCTTCCCCCAACTACAAATTCCTAACTATCTGTTCCACCATCTGTCCCATGTCCGTCCACAATGACGGCTCCGTGTCTCCTTCGTTCTTCTTCTTATCCTCCAGCTCCTTAATTTCCAGTTGCGCCTTCCTCGCAATCTCCTGCCTCACCACCTCCATCTGAGCAATGTACTGGTGAGACCGTCTACGGAGACTTGTCTCATCGTTGTTGCACGGCATCGGACCTGGTGTATTGATACCTAATATGGGAAGAATCGAGATGTCGGCTACGGAACGGTCCTCCTTCAGGAAGAGCCACTGGATAGCCCACTCCTCTGGGGTGAATTTGTTCAGCCTTGATCGCAGTGACTCGTCGGCGTCCCTTGATATCGGACGCTTCCAGGGATGGCAGTCGATTTCGTCAGGTACTTCACCCCTGTTGTAAAAGTGGGTAAGGGTGTCTGTGATGGACTTTTCGAAGAAAGATTGCAATAGTTCGGCATGGGGGGCGTTGTGGTTGCAGTCGAGAATGCCGTAGGGGGTACGGTTAAAGACTGGAAGGAGGTGATATGACTCGTAGGGCTTGGTGGGGCCGCAAAGAGGGATCTGGACTTTGCGCGCTCCGGAAGACGACGAGATGGATGACTTGGTAGGCTCGACAAACGCCAGCCAATCCAGAATGGAAGGTCCATAGATAACGAGTATAACGGGCCCGATTAAAATGAAAAGGAAGATAGACAAAGGCAATACAATGAGCAAACAGTTACCCAGCGTTGTTTCCCAGAAATCAATGTCTTTGAAGTATGAGATGGGCACGAGACCGCGCTTGTCAGGTAGTGCAGGGTTGAAGGCTTCGCACCAGGAGTCACCCTCACGACCGATAACGTGGAGACGATCGCCGCGAGAGAAACTAAGCTGCAGTGAATTTCCAGCTCTGAAACTGTGTGTAGCGCACATAACCTAAAGTAACAAGTTCAGCACGATTGTCGAGGGGCCGAGACTTTGTTCCGAGACGTACCTTGTTCGAAGGCGCAATATTGCTTTGGGTGCCTGCATGGGATCCAGAGACGGAAGCCGTGGTGGTTGGCAAGGACTCTTTAGGCTCGAGAGACTCCTTTTCGTTGTCATCGCCATGTTCACGCTTTTTGGTGTCTGCGTGGGCTTCAGAGACGGAAGCCTTGGTGGTTGGCAAAGACTCCTTAGACATGAGAGGCTCCCTTTCGTCGTCGCCGCCATCTTCAGACCCAGAGCTAGGGGTCATTTGGACCGAGTACGTTCCGTTTGCCAGCATGACGTAGTCGTCAGAGATGGAAGTCATCGGAGGCTGATCGGGTTGGTTATGACTTGATGTCATGGCGAGGCTAGTTCGGGTTTCTGTGGGTTGCTTTGTGTTAGCTAGGTAGGAGATGGAAAAGACGTTTGATAACCGAGTTTCGAGGATATGGACGACGAAATGCTTACGGATTGGCGAAGCAAGTTGTGGATGTGATTGTTCTGGTAGATCCAGGACGATGTGATGACTGGAGAATTGAGAGGGGAACGAAGGGTTATTATACTCTTGTCTGGCTATTTGCCCAAAAGGATTTCCGGGTAGCAAAGAAAAAAAGAGAAAAAAAAGAAAAAAAGCACATACGGAGTGGCGGAGGTGCTTGTACAGGACCGTACGGTCGCCGACGCAGCGCGCACCAAGTCCGATAGCTGCACAATTGCGCTGTCCATTGTTTCGAAGAATCTGGATTGAGAGATGCAGACGGACACCGGACTCGTATGCAAACTGCAGAAGACGGAGAGGCGACAACCCGGCCTGGGTAGATGACTCGACAAAATCGTAGTGGTGGAAGAAGCAATGGCTGCAATGGGCGAAAAATTCGATAATGCGTGGTGACCGTGCGTCAAGAGAGTGTCTCGAAGAACGTGTGGTGCAAGCAGCGGGAGAGAGGCATGCGAGGTTTTCTTCCTGCGTACGAACAAATTCGGGGGAGATGGAATTTTTGCGATATCGATCTCAAGGGGCAAATTGAGAAGCAGAAGTACCACCAAGCACGCTCCTTCCAGTTCCATCAGGGCTCTAGAATGGTGGGTTACGGATTCTGTCCCAGACGTAATTTCGATACGACCGAGGACATGTATCTCCATTCATTTCACGGGCAAGTTATGCATTGCATGTGTGCGGAATCAACGATATTTTACTATGAAAAACACCAGCAGAAGCACCAGCTAAACCATGCACAAGCAACCGGATGATCTAGCAAGCCTTGACAGACCGCCGGCGTAACAGGAACGCCGGATAGACCAGACTGACTCCCGAGGCGGGTGTCCATACAGCTCCCCCAAACCCTACAGCACCCAAAAAAACAATGCCCCCTGACGCTTTCCAACATCTACCTCCCACTCAGCTGCTCACTCCCCCTTCTACCTATCCTCACGAGTCATGCCCATGCCCCTGTCATGTATCCTTCGAGCCAAACCAAGCGTTGATTAACTCACACTCCCGTAGGCTAAGCTGTAAGCTATAAAGCGTCGTGATCAAGGTGGCTTGCGTGCAGTCAATCGGTGTAGACTGCTTGTGCAGTACGATTTGGGACGGTAGGGGCCGCAGCGGGAGTGGGGCTGTGGGAGTTGATGTTTAGGCGCCCGGTTGTGGGTGGTGGCCTTGGTGCTGGTTTTAGAGTTGGTGTGAGTGTGGGTGCTGAGGTTTGGGCTGGACTGGCGCTGGTGCTGGTGAGCGTGGTGAGTGTGGTGAGCGTGGTGCTTGGACGGTGCCGCGGGAGACGAAGAGGATGAAGAAGAAGAGGAGGGCGCAGTATATGACGAGGAGGCATATAGTTCGGAGGGACTTTGACTCTAAAGTGGCGGGCCAGGGCCAGGGGTAACGAAGGCGGCGTCAGGTTTGAGGGGAGGGAAACGCAGAGTTGCCGTTTTCCTTCTTGTCGACGGGGATAGGGGAATCGTTCTGGCGTTCCGGCTTGGGTTGAGGTTGTTGAAACAGGCGGCCGAGTTTGTAGCTAGAGGGAGTTATTTCTGTAAGGACAATAGGTGTTGGCCTGCGAGCCTCTTGGTACAAGGTGTTGTAACATGATCATGCCTTCGCAATGTCTACAGGTATGGTGACAGTAGCCGCAATAACGTGGCCCGCTCCCCAAAGGGTGAAGTCTAGAGTATGCCATTTGTTGGGCAACCACAAGGGAGTCAGACTACCTTGACGAGCGACGGGATGTCCATATAAGTACCCCGTCGTAGGCCTTGCTACCAGGTTGAACTTGTGTACAAAAAGAACGACAGGACGGAGACGTTCCTAGATAGCCAGGCAAGAACAAGGGTCCTTGACGGTAACAACATTGATTCATTGTCTTCCTTATGCCTGATGTTGACATGACTTAACAAACAACAACGGGGTATAAACAAATGCAATTCCCTTCATAACCCGGCACGCTTAGTGAACCCATTGTATGTCCTGTGCTCGTACAAATAACCCGACATGATCCATCTTTGACACCACGCTGCTCAGCTGGTGCCATCTAGAAAGGATCATCATCATCCAACCCCTGTCCCCATTTCTTTGCTCCCAACCTCCTGATCCTCTTCTTCTTCGTCGGACTTCCATGACTGCCACTGACCCCATTTCCCTCCCCAAAGCCATCCATGGCCATATCCCCTTGATCTCTCTTCAACTCCTGAAAGAACCCATCATCATCTTCCGCATAATTCAGTTGAGCCTTCTTCCTCCGACTGCGACTAGGCGATCTGCGACTGGGCGACTTGGCAGGATCGATACAGGCTGCCAAAGCCTGTTTAAGTGATTCGTTCTCCCTCTGTAGCCGCTCGTTTTCGTCGGCAAGAATTTCCAGCTGTCGTCGAGCCTCTCTATCTTCCACTGTTCTCGTTTCCACCAGCGTCGTGTTTTCTGGCTTCTTCGGACTGTCCACGTCCATATCCATGTCGACATCCCCATCAGCCTCTACCATCCGCTCAAACACTCCCCATTTCCCCCGCCAAAACTCTTCCCCCCTCTCCCTCTCCCCATCTACAATCGTCTTCCACCTGTTGACTTCCAGTTCCAGACGCTTCTCGAACTCCTCCGCACAATCTTCGCGGATTGCCTGCTCCAGCTCGACCATCTTATCTTCCATGCTCAACAAATGCGCTTCAGCCTGTTCGCGTAGGCTCCGTTCCGAGTCGAGAGCGTGCCGAAGATAGGTGAGATCTTCTTGTAGCCTGGAGATCTCGAGAGCGGCGGATTCGAGAGTCTGTTGGAAGGAGAGGTATTGATGGTTTGGACTGCCAATAGGCGGTAACGAGTTGGAGAAGGAGTTGGGGGGAGGAAACGAGGGCGGCTGGCGAGGAACGGTGACCTCCTTGGCGAGGGCAGAGTAGCGAAGGATTTGAGAGGTCGCGTTGAAATCGCCGTGGGGGTCAGCGGTGACAATCATGATGCCTTTCTGCGGGTTTCGATGCTGTTGCTGGTTATTGCCCGTGGGGAACGAGTTGGTGAACAGCAGCTCGGTCAGTTTGCACCGCCTGATCAAGCCCAGATTCGGCTACGGTTCGTTAGCACCCCTTTCCATCAAGGTGTTCGAGGAAGGTCATACCTTTTCCTTCCCACCTGCCACCTGCATCTGCAAACACTGCCCCAGATACATCAAGCTCTCGTTGATCTTGCCCGCCTCGGCCAATGTCTGTCCGACTGTCTTTGCGTCTCGGGCCCTCTCACTGCCCGCAAGGTCCACGATGGTCAGCGAATTCCCGGCCCATCCTGCGCCTCCGTACCATCCCGTGTGCTGCCCACCAAGGGAAAACCTCTTTTTCACTTCCACCACGAAAAACCCGTGACTCCGCGAACTCTGCGTATTACTCTCTGTCCCTGCCACCCTTCGCTCTTGCAAACCCGCTTCCAAGACCATCAACGCCTGATCGAGACTTCCGCAAACCACCTTTCGTAGTCCCGCCACCACTTTTCGGTCCGGCGAGAGCTCGGTGGGTTTGAACAGCAAGGGTCGGCGACGGTATTCTTTGGTGGCGGCCGACTTCACGGGGGAAGAAAGGAGATCGAAGATGCGGTCGTTGTAGACTTCGTACATGGAGATGACGATGGCGTACTCGGCTGACGCGTCAAAGGGAATGGTTAGATGGCTTATGTCGGGGTTCTGGGGAAGCGTGGAAGGGCGGAAACGGCGTGGAGTGGACGATTCGTTCTGTTGATAACGGTTAGAGGGTCTAGTTGCTGCTGTGACAGTTGCAAAACGGAGGGAAGAGGTAGCTGTGAAGCGTGGAAGAGTTGAAGAGGCAACTGGCCGGAGCTGCTTAGTAGGAGAAGTCCCAACCCGCTGGGGTTGGGAGGTTGGAAGCCGACTACTTCGTTGGAGAGGAGAGTTACCAAGTCCACTCGGACTTGGGCACGGAAGCCTGCTTGTTGTTGTTTGCGTGGGAGTCACGGTTCCCGCTCGACTAGGGGGCGTAAAGAACACGGTTGACTCTTCTTCCTCTTGTTCTGGTTCTTCGGTAACGACGAGTCGGATACTGGCCGACCGCTGGGCTTGTTGAAAGGGTCCAGCTGGAGTTCTTACGCCAAACTGGTGCGCCACAGATGAAGTAGAAGAGGTCCGACAGATGGGCTTATCGGTTGGGACTCGAGAAGAGACAGAAGCGAACGGTCGAGCGGAAAAAGAAGCAGAAGGTCGTACTTGTGGAGGTGTCGATCGGCCATTGCCGCTTCCGCGCAGGAAGGATATCGTTGGATCTGTGCCATATACCGATTCGAGGTAGGCCGTGGCTGGAAGGATATTGGCTTCTGACGGATCGGATGCGCTGATGGATTGTTCGAGGTTTGGATATGTAGAGGGATCAAGGACGCGATGGCCGAGCGAGCGGTAGATGAGGTCGAGGGACATTTGGGTGAGGCCGCGCTGGGATCGTGTTCCCAGCATGGTGTGTGTCTGCAGTGGTATTCCATCGTCAGTATCTCTTCTCTTTTCCGCGGCATCACAGTACTGAACAAACCTTTCCAGAACCCGTCACTCCCAGCGTCGCCAACAAGGCATCCGTTCCATCACCATAGGGAGCAAGCACGCCCTCCACCAAGCCGGCGACCCCAGTACAGTGAAACACATCAAGCTGTGTGGCATCTTCCTCAAATACCTGGGTGAAGGCGAACTTTTCGATTGCTCGGCGTCGATCGGCTGGCGGGTTCAGGGTGATATGTTTGGGTGCGCTCTCGCCGGGTTCTGGGACATCGACATCGAGGAAGCGATCGCCAGACGTCGAAACGGTGTTGGCTGGGCGCAGTCGAAGGTAAACCTCAAAAAGGCTGTGTGATGTTGGCTGAGTGTCCATGTTGTCCGCGGTGAAATGCGCGGGTTTAGGTTGTGTAATGGGAAGGGATGTTGCGCCGCATTCGGGAGACGAGAAATGATGTTGATTTGGATTCACGGGCTATTGTATTTCAATTTCAAGCTAGTGCTTGTTCTCGCGTTGTGGTCGGTTAGCTGAACGCGACCGGTGGTGATCGATTAACGAGGGTAGTCAGCAGATTGGCGAGCCTCAACTGCAAGTCATCATCCCGGACGCGGCGAGGCAAATTGTCGTCCAACCAGTCAGCTTTGGGAAAAGTGTTGACGAGGGGGATCGGAAGAAGCAAGGCGATCAACAGCCCAGCACACAAACAAGTTTCCGTAGCAACCACGATAAGATAAGATCTGTCAGGATGGACCTGAGTTCCACAAGGTTGCACCGGCAGGCAAACGGTCCAGCCTGCAAGTCATTCCGTTACGTACATACGGGGTCATCAGCAGTGTGGGGTAAGAAAACCACGATTGAGCGCACTGACCACATGGTCTCCTGTCGCATTCTAATCTTAGGTTTGACATCCGGAACAGCTCTGGCCAGACTGCCGAAATGACAAGAGTAGCGTACTTGTATGAACCATGATCGATGCTGGACGAACATATTACACAATGCCAAATCAACGCCTCCACTTGAGAACTTTGAACAGTCCAATCGACTGGCATCACCGGGATCATCCACAGCGGGCAACGTCACGGTGGAGACTGGACGATGGCAAAGACGGGCGCCTGGGTCCCTGGCGTAAAAAGCCTGCAGCCAGACGTGCCAGAGGAAGATATCAGAATTAAAGGAAGGGAGCTTGCGTGCTCCCAACACGGGACCAAAGTCGTTCCAGGTAGGAAGTGAAGTGCTGGCCGGTTGTGAATGGAAACCACTCTCTTTTGGACCTATCTGTTTCCAGACCCAAGGTCAGCGATATTCATTAAAGACCTTACAAGGTACGATGGGCTCTCGTCATGGAACAGCCGGGTCCCCTTCCATCTGGACCCTCAAATGCAATGGGCTGGCGTCTCCTGCATGCACTTCTTCCCCTGGACCTCTGCCGTACGCCTCACTCTGCCGTTGCTAGCGCTGTAGCCGGGATCTGAAATTACCCAACAGATTTCGGGTCATGACGACAAGGAAACATTGTGACATTTCTTTCGACATGGCAAACTTTCACCAGATGGATCCAGCCTCGGTTTGTTTGGCACTTTCGTCAATATGCCGACGTCCGTCGTGAGAAGGACAAGAGGCCATCCTGAGAAGGCCAGAGGGAAAACTGGCACCACCAATCAACGTTCAGGAGGGTGAGATTTTGTTCCGTATTCCACACCAGAGTAACAACGGGAGATCATGGCATTGGCTGAAACAGAGCCGTAGGAAGGACAAGTCGGAACTGGGATGACTGCTTCGGTTAAGAACTACGTATACTACAACAGGGCCGAAAGATGGACTCGCCGCTTGCGATATCTGGAAAGCGGAACAGCAACCGAGGCGAAGAAAGAAACCTTATTTTTTTGCCTCCATCTCACGGAGTACTGCGATGCCCCTTCCGTTGAGTTCTACCCCTCCCTCAATCTCCTCGAGCTGCAAAAGCAAGCACGCCAGCTGGCATCCGACCGAAAGCAGCAAGCAGGCAGGCAACCTTGGACAAACGGAGAATGTCCGTCTTGAATGCGGGGAACCTTGAACCCGAGTTTGAGGGTGTGTTGCAATTCGCGGATCGCGGAGCCTCAAATTCCAGTCCTCCCCTGCCGAGAATAGCGCTGGTCGGCTGGAATAATGTCCAGTCGTTTGTCTCGGGAAGCGACGGTCCCTTCTTTTCACAGCTTGAAGAAGAAAGATGTCGAGTGTCACAAGTCTCGTGCCAGATATCCAATGTGTAAAAGCTGGTGTACATGTACATACATCCTGCCCAGGTGTCGTGATTGACATGTGCTCTGTCCTCCTTGCATCCCGTCCCTACGGTCCCTAGAACTTTTCCAATTGCGGCCTGGCAGCCAACAATGTAAAAGAGCGGTGACAAGACTCGAGCCCAGATAAGTATCAAGACGGATAAGACTCGCGATAGTTCACGTGCATTCCCCCCCATCTCCCATTTGCAGCACCAAGAGATGAAGTCGGAACTGAAGGAGGAGATGACAACGTGGGGTGGGGTCTGTTAGTTCCATTGCAGTGCTTGTCACCGTTCGTGAAATTTTAGTCTGTTCCACTCTCTTGATGGATCTCAACCAGCTGCCAAATGGCGAATTGGCGTTCACATTGGCGCGAAACAGTGCAGCCAACCGGGCCGCGACAAGTGCCACTGCAGTTTCGGGGGAGAAAACCTCAAGGTTTCGTTCCCTTTTTTTCGAGAGCGGAACGCACGACATGCACGATCTGGTTGTGGTGGAGCTAGTGGAACCAGCAATACCCATTTGAACCAATCAGAGATGGATAAAAGTGAGACAAGCCCAATCAGTACAGTTCGTTACCTGCCGTTACGACAGTTACAGCAGTCTTTTACTGGCTCCAGGAGTGGCAGCAGCCGAGTAAAAGATTGCGAGGGAACAACGGAGCAAATGGGAGGTGCCGTGCAACCTGAACTGTGAAGTGAAGCCGAAAAAAAAAAGTTTCCCTGGGCTTGGGTTGCGCTTTTGCTGTTTGAGTGGCTGACGACGGACCGCAGACCTCGACCGCAGCACTGCTCCCCTCCTTCTCTCCCTTCCTCTTGTTTTCCCTTTTTTTTTCCCTTTCAACATCCCAACCACAACCACCACAACCACCCCAGAAAAGAAAAAAAGACAACGAAGTCGCCCTCTCAATCCACACCAGCATACATAAACTAGCTTCAGTCGAGATTTTCAAGATGCCTTCGGCCGTCGTTGAGCTCTAAGCGCCCACTGCGGGTGCCTTCCACAGCGCCCGCAGTCCAGCAGCCTCAACGAGAGAGTCCAGATCTCCCCACTATCCCTGCCCTCCCTACCCATAACCACTCGACTATCAGAAGCTATCCAGGCTTTTCTCAACCTCGAAAAAGGCCTCTTCCCTGCACAGCATCTGCACATACCGCGACAGGGCATAGGACGCGCAGTGTCCCGGTGCAAGGCAGAGCAGGACTTGGAAAACCGAGGCCCGGAAAACGAGGTTTACTCCATCTGGCCATTTACCCAAAATCAAATCAACTGCAACACACCATCAACTTCACAAGACAACATTATAAAGACAAGAGGACAGACAGATAGTCCAGACCTACAGCCCCGAAGAGAGAGGAGCATACCCCGTTTCTCCACTGGCCCACCTGACGATTCCATACCGTACGGCTACCACCGATATCTACCGTCACAAAGTCACTCCATCCCCACCCCAAATCCGACCCCGTCTCTTGTCTCGCTCTTCTCTGCTGTTCTCGAGATCCTCGGCAGACACCAACCTACAAGACCCCTCAACAGCTCCAGCCGACATCCAATTATACCTACACGACATTACAAAAGAACTCGACTGGGACAATCCCATTTCAACCCCGCGACCAGACCAAAGAGATCTTGTCGAATCTTAGCTCCGCGCACGGTTCACCGCCGCTTGCATCATACCAACCACCACCCATAACCTATACTACAGACCCCCGGTCACCCAGTCCCCCACCATGTCTCGGACGACCATCAAACTAAAAAACCCGCGGACGCCGCTCAAGGCTACCAAGCGTCGGGTTTCCGTCTCCTCTACATCTTCCTCCTCCCTCGACCTCTCCGACGATGAAGGCTACTCGGCCGTCGAGGACCTCAGCGAGAGCGAAGATGACGAGCACAATGTCATGGCGGCCGAGGAGGAGCATCTCTTGACGCGAGCTTCCCGCAAGCGTCCATTGGAACACACCCCTCGGCCCCAAGTGATTGCTCAGGAGGAAGAACACGATGCCGACGAGGAAGACGAAGAGGAGGACGAAGAAGACGAGCAGAACGAGGACGGTGACGACGAAGATGATGACGATGACGAGCCCGAGGACGACGACAACAATGCTGCCGACGAGAATGAGAGCTGGGGCGGTCTGTCGGAGCACGAGGAGAGCACAATCATCGAGCAAGTCCCCGAACCGTCCGTTGAGACCGAGGTCAGCGTCAAGCGTCACGTTCGCTTTGCCGGTATTCCGGACGACGACAGTGACTCGGACTCGACAACCACCGAGACCGAATCCAATGCCGACTTGTTCCCTGATATCTTTGTTGACCGCAACGAGCTGGACCCCGCGTTCCGTATCGAGATTGAACGTGGCAATGAGTCATCCTCGGCCGAGTCCTTCTGGGATTACGACGGCAATCCGCAAGAGTTCTTTGGGGATTCAGAGGATGAGGCCCAGGTGCCACAAAACATGCTGGCTACCCCTCTCTTGCCTAACCTGACGGTACCCATTCCGACCATAACGCCAGAACCGTCCGACTCGGCTCTCTCCAAATCGCACGAGGCGGAGCTTGACGGATACGAGAGTGAGTTAATAGAATGTGCTCGAACTTTGTGCGGAGCTAACTGGTCACAGCGGACGGCGAAACTACAGAAGAAGAAGACCCCGAGCCCATTATTCGGAAGAAGCAGGTAGCACGTGTCGAGTCGGCGCCTGTGTCTTCAGAGTCCGAGGCCGAGAGGCCCTACCGGTCCCAGCGGGGCAAACCTCGCGTCGGCCGTTTCCATCTGGACGGGTCCGATTCCAACAAGCCGATCGCTGTCTTCAACCCCAACTCCCGCAAGATCATGATTTTCAAGAGGGACCATCAGGCCGCAGACCTGGCAACTGAGGCCATCAACGATGTCCCATCGGCTAACCTCGACTACTTTTCCCCCCTGCTGACCAACCCCGGCTACCTCATGATGGGCGCCATGGTGTCTTCCAACACGTTTGGCGACTTTATGAACACACAGCCGTGGGGTCCTGCCGAGGCCTTCTTCCCCATGGGCGACGACTTTTACCCCAGAGACGATAGTGACGACTCCGAGCTGGGCCTTGAGGAAGTGGACGAGGAGGAGGCAAAGCTCGA